TCATTATCTTTTGAAATTTGTCAGGAGTTCTCTACAAAGCACATATCTGCAGGCACCACAAACACAGGAGGGAGACCAGATTATTACGATTCGTGATGTCTGATATGAGATTTTTTCTATTAAACTAAAGACTGTGCCTACTTTCTATCAAATATTTTGATCTGTTGATGGGGGGAAAAAGTAAAGTTCTACTTTTTCTTCCTTTTAAAGAATGTTGTTTTAAAAAGGCTTGTGGTTTATTAAATATGTTTTTGGAAATGTCTTTGAAATTTGCTTTCAGGATTTTTAATTAAAATGCCTCAGTAAAGTTAGAAAAACATTCTTTCATCAGCCCCAAAGCATAGAAGAAGGGAAAGACATTCTTTATCATTCAAGTCAAAGGCACCAGTCTAAATATTTTAAAAGATCCCTTTTTTCCATTTTACCTCAGAACATGTTTCCATGTGTCTAAATAGCCATTCAGATATTTATAAGTGTACCACAATTTCCTGTTTTGCTGTTTATGTTGCTTCTTCAGAGATGACTGCTCCAGTGGAACTCTGGCACAGAATCAAATAATTATCTCGGAGATCAGGTGAGTCCAAAGTTTCTATCAAACATTCTTGGGTTTAATTCAGAATCATTACCAAATTTTCTAATTGCAGATTACAATTGTTCTAATTCAATTGATACTTAAACAAGGCAGGTAAGGGTTTCTCAAAGAGACAGAACATTGCTTTAATTATTGAATTAGTTAATTATCATACTTTATGAGGCTATTCAAGGTAATGTCTGGATGTTTCCAGGGTCCACCAGTTCATGAATAAGCTGATGAGCTTTTCTTTTCATTATAATCCCAGGATATGAATAATTTTAAATTAATCATTATTTTTTTCATTAAAATGTTGGCAATCATTATTAACCTGATAATATGTCTGCATTATACATAATGTTCTACTGTAGTATAATTTTAAGGCAATCAAAGACATTGTTAAATCACAAAATATATAACTTAAAGCTGGATTAACTTGTACTTTTATATATATATTTTTTTTTATCTAATGTCTGATTTTGACAACTCATATCAAAGGGTAAAATCCTCATTCATTGTGTTGTGTGCAACTTAGTGCAAAACAACAAAATCCTACCCCAGGCAATAAGTCCCATCTTTAAACTGCACAGTTGAAATAAAAAAATATGAGTGTTGGATAGCAATAAGATTACACATTATGAAAAATACATGGATATGTGCCCCTCACAATGCAGTGCCTATTCAAGTGTAGCGATCCCTGACACAATTCACCTGGGTGTAAAGCTTTTCAGTAAGAAAGATTTTGTACCTAAGGCTCCTGATTTGACTTAATGACTGAAGGAAGGAAAGGATAAGAAAAACATCAGGCTTCCTGTATGCCCTATAACCATTGGGACCTCAATGTACATATGTCATTTCAAATCGTTCAATGAAACACTGCTTTATTCATTCTTAAAAGCAGTGTCAGCCTTAATGCCAGACCTCCGACTCACTCTTTTCTCTAAAGCACACTAGCCTTTGTCCACAAAGAGGTGGATAATTAAGGTTTAAAAAAACACTATAATGTTGCCATTTATGGATTTTTTAAATAGAATTCAACCAATGCTGTTTTTCTTTTCCAATATGCAATGCTGGCCAACAAAGTACACAAAAACGAGGTAGATGTGGTTGTCAAACTACAAATCCGTTTTTTTTTTGCCTTTGGTCGGCTACTTTTGCTTGATCATTTTGCAATATTATTTCAAAATCATCCATCTATGAGGAGGGAAAAGCTACATGCAACAGTGTGTTAGTAAAACAGAAACACAATAACATACAGCACCTCCTCCATGCTACATACAACAGTGGTGTGCTTCCACAGCTGCAACACAACTCTTTCTGCACTTGAATAATTTGGAGAAGTAAAAAAAAACACATAAACAAAATGCAAATGGTCTGTTATAAATGACATAAGTGAGCTTCTCATTGTCCAGCGTTGAATTAATGCTGGCTTTGCATTATTCAGATAAAAACATGTTCATTTTCATGAAGTACATTGTATACAGAGTTTTCCTGGAGTATCTGATATGCAAATAGTTCTTGGTTCTAAGCTATCCTTGTTCTTTTCAGTATTTTTGAAGAGGATATTGGGTAGTATTACCCTTAAGGGTTCTTTAGGAGTACTTTGTACAATTTAATGAAACTTTGATGTCTGTAGATAGGAATCTATATTGATGCTCACATTTAAAAAGGGCATCAATATGATAGTTCCAAATGATTGAGCAATGACAATTATTTTTTAGAACGCATGAATCATATTGTATGTTTGGCATGATGGCACAGTGCTTAGCATTGCTGTCTCATAGTGCTGGGCCCTAGGATAAGTTCCAGGGGTAAGGTCTGTGTGCTCCTCTATTCTGTCTCTCTTCTTTGAAATGCTTTCAAATGAATGACCTTACTGTATTATTTATGATATGATTACATCCATCCATGTTCTAACTTCTTAATCCAATACTGGGTCACAGGGGAGCTGGAGCCTTTATCCCAGCAAGCAGTGGGCGCAAGGCAAGGTACACCCAGGATGGGACAACAGGCAATAACAGGCCACACACACAGACACACACTCGCACCAAGGTCAGTTGTTACACAAGTCACAGCCACTTAACCTACCAGTATGTCTTTGGGCTGTGGGAAGAAACCAGGGCACCCAGAGGAAACCCAAGCGAACATATGGAGAACACATAAATTCCACACAAATAGCACTCAAGGAATTGAACCCAGGGTCCCAGCGCTGCAAGGCAGCAATGCTAACCACTGCGTCATTGTTATTAGTTGTAGTCATCGTCCTTTAATTGACCTATTCAGGGAGTTGTGTATGTAGTATGATTTATTATTTGAAATGACTGTTGAGGCTATTTCTGGGAGGAGAAGCACAAGTCCCCTAACATTTCAGGTCTGTATGCTACTGTGAGTCATACGGCTGGCTACCATAGAGTAGCAGGCTCATTATGAAATGAGATCAATAGCAATTGGATGTGACTTCCTTTCTTCATCAACACTAAAAATAACATCTAAATATTCCACAGCTTAGTTGATTAAAAGTTAGCAAACAAAATGTTCTTTACATTGAGGTTCCATTTTTTTGTTAGTTCAAAAGCTCCTCGATTTTGATTTCAGATCATAAGAAGGTAGTTTTGCTCCAAATTCACTCATAAGGATTATAAAAGACTTGCAAATGAGTGATCAGGGCATTGGAAATTACAAGAGTACTGGGCTTTTCAGGGGCTGCAACTTATAATGACATTCTGGCAGGATTCCTGTTTAAATTTTAGTCTTGGACTCCTTTTTGTATACAGAAATGTCAGCACAGAAATAGAACTAGTCTCAGTTGAGGTGAAAATATTTTTCATCGTAGGGGTTGATTTCTCATTACAGTATCCAGGGATATGAAAATTGTTTCCAGGGCTCAAACATGTTAACTCTGCACAAGCCAGATTCATTTGTCATCAGCCATCTCACAAAGGTAGAGTGTTTATTCCTTTTGAATTGTAAAAGTTTCAGTTTGTTATAATCCTGTAGATAAACGCTAACCCATAATCAAACTGTTAATAGATTTAATTAACTATAACTGTAAAATCATGGTTCACTCTGTAGACTACGTTTCATACTGATGCATCACAGGCCTTTGGTCCTGGGTTCAAATTTGGGCTGGGTGCTATCTGTGTGGAGTTTGCATGTTCTCCTCAAGTTGGCATGCATTTTTCCCAGTTCTTTGATTTCATCCCGCCTTCAACGCAGTGGATTAATTGGTGTCTCTAAAATGTCCCAGCATGAGTGTGAAGGCCTGCAATGGGTCAGGTGCCCTATCCAGGGTGTAGTTTTCCTTTTGCTTCCAGGGCAGACATAGAGCAACTGTGACTCTTACAAGAAATACTGTAGTTCATCAGACAGTCAGGAGCTGACTTCTACATAGTCACAGTTCAAAACCTTTTTAACAAATCACGTATACTGTAGCTGAACTATACTGGATGCTAATAGATTATCTCCCCTTGAATGATACACACAGCCTTCCCTGTTCTTTTAAAATTTAATATTTAATCAGTGCTTAAAGGTTCAGCTGAAGTTATTTTTTTATACCGTATCTGTAAAATAAAGCACTCACCTCATTTATCAAAATAACGGTCATTCTAATAAACATTTACATTATGCAAGAATATGTAAAACATTCACACTAATTAAATTCCAGGGGTGTGTCTGTGAGCCCTTGCAGACTTGTGATTGAATCATGATGTTGTTTCTTTGCATGCTGAAGCTGCCTGTTTAAATGATTAGTGGGATTTGCATTATGAATGTGGATCTATATTTTTCCAAAGAATTAAAAGCTCAGTACTTATGTGTTTATATCAATTCAAACCAAACCTTACCATTTCAAAAATGAATCTTTACTTCTATTTCAGTTATGACTTTAAAACTATGCTGAAGAAGATCAATATGGATTAGTTGGTCCTTAGAAAACAAACTCATCCAGTCTGGAGAAAGCTAAGATGAATGCCACCTCACAGCCTACGTGGCTTATTCTATATTTATGGAAACTGGATAGTACTTTGATTTTTTATTATATAATGTAATGAAGAATACAACTGTAGTATAAATAATTCAAAAGTAGCTTGGCTGTCAGGCAGAAAAAAAAATCCTTCTCTATGTTCACTTTCTTTCATTTTCTTTAAGGCAAACATAGACCCTACTGACACTCAGCCAGCTAACAGCTTTAAATGGGAAGCAGAGTATATCTGACCATCTTACAGGTTATCTATTTCTTGTTGATCTTGAAAGAGTATGATTTATTCAAGCAGTTTTACATCATAGAAGCTAGAAATAGTAAGCACACATCTGTTGGTAAAAGAGTATACACAAGAAAAATGTTGTGTATTCAGAGAACATATACTGTATAGAAACTGCATAAGAAATGCACAATTCAAAGATTTCAGAAAATGAACAACAAGGCAGAAAATTCACACTTAACAGGTTTATTACAGCTTTTCCCATGAACAACCAAGAGTGCAGAACAAAAAGCCATCACAAAATCTGGGGTGATGTATTACAAGAATAAAAGTTTGTTACAGATTATTGCACACCCAGAGATATCACAAAATGGGTAATAATGTTCAAATACCGCAGGACCTGCTGAAAAACATACAGTATGTCACAAACTAAACACTAGAAATTGTGCTAAAGAAGTCACCCCAAGAGAGCTTTATCTTTATAGCATACTGTGGTTTTCAAAACACAAGAATATGGCTAATTCGAGACACTGAAAACAAATTCATATGACAGCATTTTGAAAAGAACAGGCATACTGCTGTTGACCTCCACATACAAAGCATAACCTGCAAACAAAAATATGTCAGAATCCCCTCTGCATTGCGTTTTTGTACCTTCCTTTAAAAAAAAAAATAAACACACTGAAAACGTCTTTTATCACAAGGAAAATACTGTCTGATAATCAGTGTGCACAGAAAATTAAATGCAGTCCTGACGGATGTCAAATATCACATACTGTCACATCGAAGAGTTTCCTTTGGCAAAAAGTAGTTTACATGTCAGAACATCCACCTATAATAGTAACATAAGCCTGTTAGGCAGCAGTATACAAGAGTGGTGAGGGCTTTTAATTTGGGGGTTGTGGGATTGTAATCCTAACAGGATACCACAGTGTTTCAGTCAGATTGTTGAAGTGAAATGTCCAGGTGTATAAAAAGATCCAAATCCTCCTTTGGATACAAATACCAGTCAAATTAATAAATAAAAAAACACTATTCTTTTTCTGGCTTTAATATACACATAAAACTGACTGGATGAATAACTTAATACAGTATTGTTTTGCCTAGAAATGGAATATGCCTCGTAAACACTTTTCGCGTGAATTCCCATGAATGCCTTCAGTTTTACATTCTGTATGTCCTTTAAAATTGTGCTGTACTCTCCAGTGGCAGCTAGGCAAGATCTTAACCTGGGAATAAAGACTTTCCTCACGCCTTCAACACGGAAACCGGTTTGCAGCGTTGATGCAAAAAAACAAAACAAGAACCTCAAAACATTTCACCACTTTCTTTGGATATATAGAAACTAAACCTCCTCCGGTAATCCTTCTAACCATTCTGAATTCACTGTAGATATTTCAGGACTTTTACTGCGCAGAAAAACGACACAATGGAGCATTAATAAGTAATTTATCAAATGGCCACCTGGTGGGATTAGCTAACGGCTACAATTGGCTCCACAGAGGAGATGTCAGTCTTCGCCGACTGCATGTTGGAGGCGGACCTGAGACTCTGAGACTCTTTGGCCCTGCTGTAGTTTGCGTTGTTCTCCGGCCAGGCGACTCGCTGGCAGGGGGCGGTAGATGGAAGGCTCCTCTCTTGCGCCCCTTCTCGTTTTTTGCAAATGCTCAACAGGTACTTGAGCTCCGATCGGAAGTTCTCGTTCAGCCAGCAGTAAATGAACGGGTTGTAGCACGTACTGCTCATCGCGAACCAGTGAAACGTGAAGTATAGCGCGTTGCTGCTACGGATGGTCTGGCTGGACAGCAGGACGACGTAACAGTTCAGGGGGAACCAGCACACTGCAAACACCACCACGACCATCATGAGCATTTTGATGGTCTTTTTCTTCTTCTTCTTGTGAGCGAAATACTGTTCCGTTGTCACATCCCCAATAGCATTGCGTCTCCAAAGCCTTTTGGCCACAGTCGTATAGGCAACGGAAATGATCAGCAGAGGTAGCACGTACAGCAGGACGAAAGTTGCCAAGTCCGTGTACTTCCAGTAGAGATCAGAGGGCTCAGGGAAATTGGGAACGCACAGACTGCGGATCATATCCTTGCTATTAAGCCAAAAGAATCCTGAATGAAGGAGTCGCAGCTATTCATGGCAATGACTTTACATCATCATCATCATTATTATTATTATTGGCAAACATTTAGAAAAGCAAAAATATCATTACTCACTTTAATCGAAATTGTTTAACACGTATACATTCTAGTTAAGCTTTGAATTTCCTTGATTTTACGCTGCCTTGAATTGCGAGTTATACATAATATTATCTAAATAATGATCCTAGTAATATTTTAGAGCAAATAATACCTGTTACCTAGTGTATCGTCCAACAACTATAGTTAAGGATATAGAAAATCAAGAGGACGCAGTCTAGATTAAGCTAGAAAATACGTAAATTTAACGAAACGTGCAAAATTTCATTTGTGTTTCAAGTAGTCTTTTCATTCCAGTAACCATTTCAGAGCTCTATTTTTAAAAAGGCATGTGCTGTATGAGAGAGTTCGGAACAATACAGGGTATCGCCGAGCGTGTAGTAATTTACTCAGTTGATTTCAAATACTTTCAGGAGTGCCGCACTGAGATTTTAGCGCTGGTTGCCGTTTTAGTACAACCCGGCAACAACACGTACCTGTAAGCGAACGTGAAGAGGTTTTGGTAGATGGCGTGGGGGAGAGAGAAGCAACTCGCCATGATCCAGATGATCGCGATGTAGACCACTCCGCGCGCCGTGGACATTCGGGGCTTCAGGGGGTGCAGTATCACCTGTGACAAAGGATGTGCAACCGCCGTGTGTGAGCACTTAAACACGGACTCAGTTTGCACTTTCGATTTCTGTTTGTTCGCAAACGGTTTTCCCTTCAGTATTGTGAGGTGAATGAATTTGTTCGCCACCTGGCTAATTAAGATGGGCATCCCATTCTGCACTCGTAATTGGTAGAATGAAAATATAGCGCGGTTTCCTTAAGCTTCCGAGAGCTTAACGTTTAACATATTCCAGCTCAGATCTCAGAAAAGCTAGCTGCCAAACTAAAGTTTTAATCGCCCCAAGAGTCGAAATGCGCTTCAATATTGCCCGAACAAGCAACAAAATGACATTCCAATAAGCACCGCAGAGATTTCAGCAGCATTTGTCGGACATCGTTCAGGGTTTCATGACGTTGTTGGTGCATAGGTGCTCATTTACATACATCAAATCATGGACAGTAAAGTTTAGTCAGAAAGAATAACACTATATTGACATTTGTGTTTAGGTTTTCGTTACTTCAAGTTTGAAATAGTTATTAACGAGTTCCCTGCGGTTTTTATTAAACGTCTCAGAACACAACATCTTCGAGAGGACGGAATAATAGTTACCTGGTGTCTGTCCATGGCGATCGCTGTCAACGTGAGAGTGGACACGTGCAATGAGCAATACTGAACGAACCTACTTACATGACACATGATTTTCCCGAACACCCAGGTGCTGTTAACAAAGCGAACCTGCAGAAAGAGTCCAAATGTTAGTCACCGACACAAAATGCACATTATAGGGGAACGACGAATATGATCTTTTTATAGAGGTATTAGCCGCGATTTCAAAGTACAAATGATCTGTATCAAATGCTTAAAATACTAAACAAAACACGCCACGGGTTACACATGCATAGATCTTATATCTAATACAGATTGTGCAACGAGAAATTCCCTGAATACATTTTTCTTTTATGCAAAGTTTCCGACATATCTGTAATTAGCGATTGAAATCAAACCAATTGGGAAGAAACTGTAATACCTAAAATACTGGAAGATGACTACGTTTACCATTTTGATTTAAGAAAACCACCATAAACATAAAATAATGTCGTCCTTTATGGTCACATCATAAACACAACGCAGAATATTAATTGCAAATCGAGTCCAGCACAGATTCATACCAGAGTGAATGGTGTGTTCAGCAGAGTTATTAATATGTCTGATATTGCAAGGTTCAGAATGAATAAACTTGTAGCAGAATGCATCCTCTTGTTTTTTATCACGACATGACAAACTAGGATGTTTCCAAAAAGGGAAATTACAATAATGAAGGAGTAGGCAATAATCAGAAGAGCTTTGATGGTCGGATTTTGCGATTCTGCTCCGTACTTCTTCTTTCCTATAACATACTGCCAGTCTGCCAGTGTATTGTTGTCCAAAGTAAAGTATCTCGACCTGTTTGCCGCAGCTTCATAAGTTCTCTCAAAAAATGTATCGTTGTAAAATCGTGCCTCGGATTTCGGAAAGGTTTTTGCCAGGTAGGTCAAAGACAACCACACGAACGTGGTCACCATTTCTGCATTTAAATCTAGGGCAGCATCTCAGAGTTAAAATGAGAAAAATCTTGTAAAGCGAATCCCTCTGCGGTTACTGTAAAGAGTCCATGTCTCCGTACAGCACTTAAACATGAGTTGAAGTCCACCAGTTTTACTGACTGAGCACGTCTTGGTCCATTTCGCGGTTGTTGCTCGACAACTGTGTCTCTCCCCTTTTGAAAATGTGCGTCTTTCACCCTCTGTACTAGGACGCGCTAACTGAAAACACCATTGGTCTGCAGTTAATCTGATAACGCTGACGTTTCTATTTCTTTTAAAAAAAAAACATACTCTCATTATCATAAAGCAGACAATCAGACTGACAGAGCAAATAAAGAACTGAGTTCGGAAACAAATAGGCTTTCAATATACTGTATAATACACACGTCTCTCTTTAATAGGCTATTATTTTTACAGACAAGAATCAGCAGTGCTACGCGAATTGATAAAATAATTTGATGGTTTTTCCGATTTCTAAATATGTCTCTGGACTTGTAACAAATATTAAATTTTATAGAAGTGTTGGAGTGAATTTGGGCAGCCCATTACTTGACTCATAACATTTGCTGATAAACTCGAGAAGGGCTCCAGCTGATTTAAGATTAGACATCTAATATGTATCAAATGAATTATTTTCATTAGTTCTGCAGCTCAAGAGTAATAGGACTTCATTCCAGGCAGAAAAAACGATTTTTGTGAACAAGTTATTGAATCCTTAGAACATGGCAAGAACCCCGCAAACTATAACAAGCACCTACAAAGCAGTGATAAAATAGGTAGATCGCAAGAAAAAAGAAATGAGAAAGAAGGGGCCAATTAAATAGATTTGTACAGCTGTCCAGGCCAAGACATTCCATGTACAGTATCAACCAATTAAGTCTGGTTGTACTTCTATCTACAGGAATAATTTCTGTAAATTAATTTAACATAAGAACAGTATCAGCTTTAATAACACAGCTGGGTACCGTGTTCCAGACACCCAGAGGCCTTTGTGAAAAGAAGTTCCTCCTGTTCTCATTATGAAAAAATCTAAGGGTATTTGAGAATTGGAGCAAGTCTCCTAATAGTCTTCTCTTCTCAGAACTAAAATGGTATAGTTCTTTTAGTCTGTAAATATAGGAAAGTCTTTTGAACTGATTCCAGTGTAAAAATATAGTTTGTAACAGGGTAACTAAAACTGTACAGATTATCTTAAAATTGACTTACAATTACATTGTACAATTTTAACATAACACCAATTGATTTAAGTTCTTTCCGTTTAACTATATACCTTAACATTCTGTTTACATTTTTTATTGGTTGTATGCATTTTCTAGAGAACAGTTTGTTGACTTGGGAGTTCCATCTGCAACTCACCCTTACAGTGCTTCAGAGAACAGTCTCCAACAATCACTGGTTATTTCTTTCTTGAGCTTCTGATGGCATCATCACAGATTGAAGTTATGGTGATTGGTGTCAGAACTTCATATCTGTGATGGTGATGTCTCAGCTCCCAGGCCTTGACTGTATGTTTCTAGGTCTTGCAGGAAATAAGTTCAGAAAACATATTTGGCCATTTTTGATGTTAGTCGATGTTGTCACGATAGACTGCTACTGTATATGCTCCTCATCTCTTTGACAAACTCAAAGAGCTGCTCTGAATGAATTGATTAAAGAACATTTATATAATACACAACCACCTACTGTATGTACAGTAATTGATTTGTTGTTTTGGTTAAAGTAATTGTAAAGGTTTACTGTTTGTTTTTCTTTCTAATGCAGTAGTGACTGAAGAGACTTAAAAAGAGTAACTATACATGCTAGACAACTTTGGCCTCCTAAACCCATAAATCTACAATAAAGCATTCAAGTTTATTAAATGAATGAAACACTAAAACCAAATTGACAGTATTGAAGATATTCAAAGATGACCACAACTGCAAGTCAAACTGTATTAACAAAAATAAAACATTTACTAAAAGGTGTCCTATTCAGAGGTTTATATAATGTATATTTCACTATAAGGGAGAAAACTAATTGATTTTTGTGCTTTATACACATTACTAACAATTTAAAAAGCTGTTTTAATCTTGGTATGGTGTGGCACAGTGGTTAAATTTCCTCAAGCAAAAACATTAAAAATTCTGTTTTTCTTAAGGAAGAGATACCATTCATAACTGTTTGATAATAAACAGTATTTACTTAGTTTCATCCCAGATTAGCTCCTAAAAGTTTTTCAAAATGGGTGAAAAAAACCTTTGATATGAAGCCTGTAGGACATACTTCATGTCAATTATGATGATATTTGAACCAGTATCTGTAATGTTACATTAGCTGTTTTCACTTTTGGTTTCAGATATCTTTTGTTATTCATAATAATTTCATGTAAAAAATGCACCAACATAAGCAACAAGTTATTTTTAAATGGGTGTTAAAGAAAATATTTTTTCAGTTATTTACCTTGCAGCCTCTGTGATTACCATATGTTTCATAACTTTAAAAAATATTTCAACAATAGCTCTTTGTTCTTTATACATATGAAGTTTGAACGCATTACTGCAATGTAATATAAGAAACATTACATTTTATAGTGCCAGGAACAAAAGTGTGAAGTTCATAAAGATAAATTCTTTCATCAATATACAGTTTGAATACTGTCTGTTGCTTTTTTTTGGTTGATATATTCTGAAATATCTTAACCTTTTTTCAGAATTTTCAACACTTTATTTCAGTGTTGAAAGATATTTTGTGATGCAGATTAACACATTTTTCTTCTTTTTAGAAAAATACACCCATTTTCTCTAAAATTACAAATACAGTACCACACCTGCTGGAAGTCCACCACAATCGTTTCAGTCTGACTTCAGCCTGGAACAGATGTGTCTGAAGTCATCCCTAAATCAGAACTATGGTGACACTAATAATAAAGGTGATAGCCAACAATTTCAGTTTGAGGCTAAACAAAGATAAAATAGATTAAAAGAAAAATAAAATATTTTTCTTTTTGAAAACATGTATTGTCACTATTCATATAAAAGATACAGTTTTGAACAAGTAAAATACAGAATGAATGAACAGACCTAATTGCACATTTGCATTAAGGGGGCTTAATTGAAAGGGTCAGTGAAACAAACCTGTTAAAAAGTAACTAATTGCAGTCGTTCAAGAAGTGAGAAATTAAATTCTAATGCTTTTTCGAATTGTGGTGCTCGCTGTCTGAACAGGGTCAATTAATGAAAGATACTGGTCGCACATGCTTTTTACTACTGTCTGACTAATTCAACAGCAACCTCAAACACCTGGTCTGTACTGTATCTCTCCAAAGCTGGACTGAAAAAGCTTACAGAATCCTGGCTGTAGCTTAATATTGAACAGGAACTGTTAACCAAGAAATTACACTTGCCTTTTTGGAGTACAAAAAATCTTTTAATAAACCTGTAAATGCACATATTTTATATAATCATTCTTCTGACAAGAAAGACTCAATCAATGAAAGTAACAATACCACCCTTTGCAAACAGCCTTAATTACAGCACTCATAACTGGTAAAGAAGGCAGCACAACCACATTCTGCTTTTAAAAAAAGAACAGCTAACAGAAGAAACATTCAACATGCAGAAGGAATGTGGTGTCTAATTTTGAAAATTCTTTGTCATCACTTGAAGAGCATGAAAGCTCTCAGATGACAGCAGAGAGAAGCATCTACAACTAGACACTATCCACTGAAAACCAACAAAAGGTTTAATTACAGGTGCCAGCCTGCTATGCCAAATAGACAAAGAGACATGGAAACAAAATAATTCTAATGATAAAAACCTTAGGGAAATTATATTTCTGTACTTCAGAAAAGCCACACGAATTACATTGTATATTATTCTTTGTAAACGGATGTCAGTGCTAGAAATTATGCCATTGCTGTAATTTGCAAAGCCCAATGGAATTACTCAAGGGGATCATGGTGAGGAAAAGTCAAGCAAGATGAGTGACTGTGATGCATAATTGTCAGAAAAATGCCTGCTTAATGCCAGTTTTATCTTCCATGCCCCCACTGCAGCTTTGTGAAATATAATTTGCATTTTTTGTTTTTAAAGAAACTATAACCTTGAAATTGCTGTGTACACATTACAATCAGACATGTTCTACAACCTCCTTGTGTTATTTTCCAGTTTAAAGCAATAACTGCAAAAAAAAAGTTAGAGCAGACTTACAACAGACTCACAACATCGGGGTAAGTAGGGGGCTGGAACTAACTGGAAGGTTGTGGGTTCAACTTCCAGGTGAGGCACTACTGTTAAGCCCTTGAGCAAGGTACTTCACTTAAATTGCTCCAGTAAAATACTCTGCTATATAAGAGTCTACAGGTGACAAAAGCATTGGCTGAACAAAATAATAATAACGTTCCCTACCTGCCTTAAGTAGTTGAACCCAAGAGCCTAATTACCTTCTTCTATGGCATTGACTTGCCTTGCATGGCTGTTCCTACACTGAAACCAACTCATTTCAGAAAACGAGACAACATTTTTAAGCATTGTATTAATATAAATATTGTTAACATATTTGCCTTTGTACTTGTTTATTAGGACAACATCATTTCTCTCAAAGACTATGACAAAGTCTTAAGTAATACACTTCAAACAATAAAAGGCAGTAACCTTTAGACTAAAGAGGCTGTGATATTTAGAAGCTCTGATGAATGCACTGATGATATCCATATGCAAAGGTAATAAGCAAACAGTATCTTTACCAAATCCCAACAACACAAAAACCTATTGTGCCAATTTATATTAACATACAATATATCACTCTGTATCTGTAATTAGGTCATATGTGCACCAACTTTCTACTAATTACAAAGTTAATCAGTGTTAGTAGTTGTGTGATGTGATGTCAACAAGAAACTACCGTGAACTGCAAGTCAAATAATTCAGAGGAATGTCAGCCATATTTGATCAATATCAAAGTACCAAACACTCTGAGGTAATTCAAATTAAATTTTCTAAGAACCTAAAAGAAGTAAGAAATGTTTTTGAACTTCTATGAGTTAACCAAAGGCTGCTACTTCAGGAGCAAGAACAAATATCTTAGCTAAAAGGAATTAGCTACAGTCTAAATCCTATTTTGAGTGTTACTGGGGAGAGCTCAAGGAACTTAATAAAAGAAAGTGAACAGATGGTAGTCGAGAACATGCCTGATACCCCTCACGATGTCCAGCTAGATGCAGTTTTTTTAACTTCATACGTCAACTGTCCCACAACATGAATGACCAGAGACGCATGAAGAGTAGAATCTTGGGGAGGGAAATAAAAGACATTAAAAAAACAAACAATTGAACACCAGGTCAGCTATGATGTGGTTCTCCTGGCAAGGCAGAAGGTTTGATGACAGCTATCTCCGGCCTCTGGTGCTGGAGCTGCTAGAGCTCTTGAAGGGGTTGTACTCCTCCTGAACACAGTGAACAGATGAAAGGGTAAACAATTCGGAAAGTTACTGCATTCTTCCATTTGTACTAAATATTTAACTCATAAAGTGTTAGTGAGAGTGATATTATGGGACAGGGTCTATGTTTAGTCCAAGACTTCAGTCTTCTTTTGCCTTTAACTACTTTATTTACCCTCTGCTGTAGAGAGGCATATAATGAATATTTCATTAGTGGACTGAGAAGTAGTAATAAACACATCTATCCTGATCATGCAAGAATTTTTAAAGAAAACATCGGATGTTTTAAATTGGTCAGAATTTAAGTAATTTTCCAGAGTTTAAAAATTGAATTATACACCATGAAAGAGTGCATGGGAATCGTCATACCTCATCATCATCATCTTCAAAACACACTCCCCCCAATGACTGGTTCTGAGATCCCCTCCTGCTAGACGATGCTGATGATAGGCTGGAAACTCTGAAGAGAACATACCAGCACACTTCACCAGTAATGACAGAAAGTTATGTTTTCTCTAATTAAAATTGTATATACTGTACATAACACAGTAGCTACACACTAATTTAAACGCACAGCTTTCAGGTACAGGTAAAAAAAGGCACAGCAATTACTGAGCAGGAGTTGAGGCTGGGCCCACAGCTACATTTTAATAAGCTCATACTTAGAATGTGCTCCAAGTGTGTTGGGTCCCTTAACTTTAATCTCACAGAGTATAATACTTTACAAAATGAAAAAAGCTGGTCTCAGAAGCTCACAGAAAACCACCTAATTTCACAAAGGTTACGACCCCGAACAATATGATACGAGCAGATCCATCTCCACAAATTTGTTTGATATCTGCTACTGTGGAATGAGGGTGTCATTGAGTAAAGACTATTTCCTGTCTTGGTTCACACAATAGATATAACAGATGGACAGACTTGATTCAAATTATACAGGGAGGAACAGTCCATCAAAAGATGAAAGGTGAGACAGCCCATTTACAGTATGTTTCTGCCAGCCCAAAGCTTCAAAATGGCAATCATTAGACCAGGAGAACACAGCTATATTGAAAATATGTCAGCATGTGCCAATCAAAATGTTTGTTACATAACAACTGTATCTAAATTCATTTTGTGCTCATTAATAGCCTATCCAATACTGTTCTGTTTCTGACTGCAGGTTCATTAGAATGTAAGGCAATCTAATTTCATTTCTGACCTAAAAATATAAATAGGCTCAGGATTGCCATTAATTGGAACAATAATTTGGCAGTGCTTTTGGAGCTATTAAACACAGACAGACAAGACAATAGCTTTACTGGAAAGAGATTATAAATGTTGTTTGAAGCTTGAGTACTCACAAAGCACTGGGTAACACTTTGAAGATACATCAGAAACATACTCCCTGTGCAGGACAGAAGACTCTGTGTCTCCTTTCTAATTAAACTGATCCATTAAAATGTCTGGTAAATATACTACAAAGGCTAATAATGAATGAATTAAATGAAAAAAAAAATATTTCAAGCTATGTTATGTGCACTTAATATTAAGGAATTTGATTTATAATAAAATGTGTTAATTGGAATGCCTACAAACACTTTCATTCAAATAATTTACTACATTAATTACCCACCTCTGACTGGGCTTGGATGGTTGAGCTGGCTTGGAAAAAGACACATCTTCATCTGAGTCATCATCAATTACAATCTGGAAAATACAAACTTTATGTCAGTTATGCACAGGAAACAATGCAGACAGGTAACAAACGTCCCCTTACTGTCTCACACGTTGATATTGTTCTTCAACTTGAGTTTATGTCCCTTAAAATACCTAGCTTGATATTGTGATTTTTCACCCTTTCTGAAATACATGATGATACAGTATATGAATGACAAATAGCTCTTTCTTTGAGGTTACACCACTCAGAACAGCCATTCTAAAGACAGAGTGTTACTCTGGAGATAGTGGGACGATTTGGGATTTGACTTTTCCAGGATCTTCACAGTACCATAATAATGTATAAGAGGTACTAAAGGGTCCTGTAATTGAATTTTCACAGAATCTTATTTAGAACCACCTTCCCTAAATAATAAAACCTTTCCCACTGAAAGACAGTCCAAATGGTTATCAATTTCAAACACTTATTTGTCCTCTCAAAAGCCCAATGCTCCGGTTTAGAAGCAGAAATCAATCAAAATGAAAGGCAGAATGAACAGCAGCCTACAAAATACCAGGTGAAAGCTCTTTACTCTGAAACCAGAGTAACCCCACACCTACTTACTAGCAGAATTCTACACAATGTCACTAATGCCAAGCATTGACACTTGGGGTAATATGAGCCAACACGCTCCTCTCATTAAAGAAGATATAACAATTTCCCTAGTTTAACCACTTATCGGTGGTCACTGTTTATTACCCACCCTGCTTAATAAAATAAAAAATGAATTTAACCAGAGTTCAACCTGTTATACTGAGAGGCATATGACATTGAAGTATTGCATTGGACAGGCCTGGGTCTAATAATAACCCTTTTATTATATACAAAGCTCCTCTATTCAGTCAGAATGTGCGTTGTGAGAAGAAAAGAGCACAAAGCTAAATTATTTTCTATATTTTGTATTAAAAAATATATATTTAAAATAGTTTTTTTTGTCTTCTGAGCTTGAGGCCTCCCACTCCACACATGTTTAAGACATTTGACTGCATATTCAGTACATTTTTAAGGCAGTATTTTACTAAATATTTATTTAGATAGGTCTAATGCTAGCTCTCTTCCACAAGAAATGGAGAACCACAAAATCTAATTTAAATTTCTAAGTATTTTACAGTAAAGACACTATTTTTCAGACAAAATCGTATTGTGAAATTTATAATTGCTTTAGATACAAAAAGCTACATAAATACGAATCCTATAATCACAGCTGAAATGAAGCATGACTCTTAAATACTGTAGCAAATGTTCAACACTGTGACACCAGGTTCCACTTCAAGCCTCCTAAGCGGACAGCCTCACTATCAGCATTAGTGGAATCATAGCAGCATTCCTGAGCCTCTCTTCTGTCACTTTCACATCAAATTAGATTTAATACTCAAACTTCTAATACAGTACCTCAGAATGATAGAGGCTGACATGTTGCATAACTGTATTGAAATCTATGCAGCACATCAGACATTACAGAGGAACTCAAATCCTTTACTTTCTTGTATTAGTTATCAGACAATCCTGGAGTCCAGGTTGCTTCTGAGGATACTCCCGTGTTGAAATCTCCTGAGAGCACCTCCGTTACAGCAGAACAAAATCTGTTTCATTTCCTGCACTGAGGTTCTGTTACATCATGTCATCTTGAAAGGTGCATTTCTAAAGTCTCCAAAGCTTTCTTTAAAATGTAAATGTCATAGGAACAGATCAATTCTGAAGCAGATGAAAAGTAAATGATCCTTGACTTCTGTTATTTAGAATCTTTAATGTGACTCAAAAAGCAAATATTGTATGTAATGCAGGAGTAATTATTAATTACTGCCCCTACAGTATGCCTGAAGTCACATTTTTATTGCACTCCTTAGCAAATACATTTGGGCAGGGCAAATTCACTGAATATTAGTTAGGGAAAGCAGAATCTGGGGAGAAATCTTTAACTATAAGAATAGGCAAAGTACTGTGCACGCTGTCCCCTCAACCAGGGCTCCCTGTGACTTGCTGGGAGCTTTGTGGCTAACAGTGATGAAAGATGAGCTACTGGTCCAGTCAGAACTAGTTCTCCTGTCTGGTGTTTTGAAACTACAGGAGGGCATGAGAAAGAGCTAGTTTGTGTGTCTTGTTGTATAAAGATTGCTACTGCAGCTTAAGAAATACTTTTCAAAATAAAGTTCAAATGAGTTTGGGAATATATGAAATACCTTTTAAAGTAGAGCAGTGCAGCATAAGCAGATAATATGAGCACAGCATAATCCTTTAACTAATTTTCTTCTGCAGGGTGTTTTTTATCAATGCAGGAAACCAAATAATAAAATACGTAATCCTCAATGTGAGAGACGTTAGGGGATCTCATAAGCTTCTTTTGTGTTCCTTTGTTGAATGGGGAAATTATAATCCACCGATAAATCTGCTTTACATCCATGGAACACAAACTGCCTGTTGGGGATCTGTCCCTACATCACTTTCCACTCTTCACTGACTGACTGTTCCCATTGTGCAAAAGTACATCCTCTCCATGTTTAGTGATGACTAGATTTAATCAGAGAGTGGGACTTTTTCAGTGATCCGTCTGATAAAAAAAGGTTCAGACAAAGAAGATGGTGCTGCACTCAGTGCACTGATAACTTCTGGAAATCAGAGCAAACTCTGAGTACTAAGACAGCCCCCATTGCACAGGGTTTGCCATTTGAAGATGGCAACAAATGAAAATCTAATTCAATTCATTCTGGCATGGTGGGTTAATTGATTAGTACTTCAATTCTGGGCACTTAGCTTTGAGTGAGCCTGCTGCAAAGACCAATGTGTCCTCAGGAAATTATCCCACCTACAATGTGGCTCACTGGGAACACAGCACTTCATGTCACAGATGCGGGCTTTAGCTCATCGGTAGAGGTGAAGGTGCAACTCGTGGAAAATAATTTGTTTTTAAAATCCAGTTTTTCAGTGGATGCAGTATTCTAAGCTCGTGCAGCTTTTCCAGAACAGCATGCACACAGTATATATTCAGAATATATTCAGCATGATATTTAATTTCATTGCCACTGCTAAGGTTACTCTCTACTGTGAGACTTGGAACACATTTAACAGAATCAATTTCTAGCAGCCTCTGCTAGACAAATCAAGGGAAAGTAAAGTTATGAATTGTCAATGATTATTACATCAGTAACCCATGCACCATAAAGAATTTCAACACATCAGAATAAGCTCTTTACAGCGCAGATAAATGAAAGTGACAAGAGTCGACAATGAGACGCGAATTTCGTTAGCATTACTGAACAACTGAGGCTAGAATGAAAAGATCCTATAACTCATTGGGAAAAGGAAATAAGTGAAGATTCTTAAACATTAACAACCTTGCCTATAATAATATCTTGAGCATTTCTGCAGAAAATATCGATTTCTACAGAAATTATTCATATATAAATAATCTTCAGTGTATTGTATTAACAAGAACATTACCAATGGCAGCTCATTCATTATGAAAGAACATTCCTCATTTAAGAATCAGAGCCCTACATAAATAAAGGAAATCTATCAGAATAAGCAGAAGAATTCCACTAGCAAAGCTGTGCTTTGAAAAATAAAGATCTTCATATGTTAGTTTAGCAGTTGTTATAGCTCGTTTTTTGTTTTTTAACTGGGATGTCTCTTTTAGATTTTCGCAAAGGGTTTACAAAAACAATTTTAAATATTTGTGTTTAAAAACATTCAGGTAGAGCCAATGGCTTTCTATATTCTACATTTTGTGTGAACACTGCAAAGATAAATCTGTTTCTGTGTTTAGCATACTGTAAATCAGGCAAACAGTACATAAAATTAAAACTCAATCCTTAAATGTGCCATGTAAAACAGACAGCATACACTGACATTATGAATGATCATTTAAAACACACCTCTTCCGATAGTTTTTTGGGAGCTGAACTTCTAGAAGGTCTTTGGGAACGGGAAAGGAAAGCTGCAGGTAAAAGAAACAAGAAACCAAAAACTTTCTTCAGATGAGTAGATTTCACTGGCAACCCAACTCAACAAGCCTGTGGGACTCACATAATATCATACCCACTCATTGATTAAATAAAAACAAAAAACAACTATGGGATTCACACACAAGAAGATTTTTATGCAATGAAGTGCAATTTATCATCATGATGTGTCTAGATGAGCTACCTTTTACATGAGAACCATATGTGTATGTCACCTTCAATCACTCAAATGTACATAGACATATTAACACCAACAAAAGGAGCCCATGGCTCCATGATTATCTATTTTTCTCATATGAAATGGAAACTTTCTGAAACAGAAGTTGAAAACTCCAAATCCAGGAGACTGGACGGAACTCACCGTCCATGATTGACATGTTCTTAGTGGGGCTGATGACGGGGTTCTTGAATGAACGTCCTCGGCCAGAATTTTTTGGTTCAGACTGAACCCCAGCTCCTTAATGGAATGAATTGAGACAGCGTTCATAATCATGACCTTATTGGTACTGTTCAGTCATGATCACAACTTTTCCAGTGTATATTTCACTTCTCTTGCTACTAAGATGTAACCAAAGCTTCGTAGACTGCACTGTTTTAACATACAGCAGAATTAAAGTACAAACTGTGTTACATAATAAATTATTTTGCTTTTTAAACCTCGTATGCTCTACTACGTAACAATCAGTTTTATTTATGTACTGCTCTCTTAAATGTTTCTGTAGCACTAAAATGCCTTAAAACACCTGTGACATTTTCAGTGATAAAATAGGAAATGTCAGACAGCTGTCGGCTTTCACTGCATGTTTTCATTGGTATGCAATGTAATACAGTTCAGCAAAAGTGTACTAGCAGACTGAAATTTGATTCATCAGCCAGTATGGTCTTCTTGGAAACATTCAGTACCTGTTTTATTACAGTTCAGTATTCCCAATGCTACTTGAGAACTTTGACTCCTCAAAACAAAGAGGGATGAAACATAAGAATAAATGCCTATCTAAAATAAAATAATGCAGAGACCAAACAAAATATAATGTACCAATGACAGTCTTATTATAATTTCCAACTAGAACTTAGGGAAATTATCAGAAGAACAGCATGAAAAAGTATTGTCTTCAAGACAGATGTCACGTAAAGTACAACAGCACAGTAGTCTCAGTCTGAAGTACATCAGCTCAAGGCACCTGCATTTCACAGTGTCTGTAACTGCAATTGACATGAACATTCTTCTGCATCCAGAAAAGTAACTAAAAATAATTTCAAACTGTTGATTTGGACACAGACTAACTTTAAGCTTGTTTTTATGTTAATGTCTTGTATCTTAGAGTCAGGAATAGTAAAAGCCTAAGGCAACCTGCACCATAAAATGGAATGTTGAACTGAACCCTCTGCTATGAAAGATTTGCTATATTTGCTTGGCTTCAACTGGCCGTCGAAATTTAATTTTTAATGTGCACTTCCCTGACTGTGATTGAATAACGTGAGCAAAGACAATTAGTGTCACTTTTGGAACGAAGGGCAAAAGAGGTCTGGAAATTGATTTTCTAAAAAAAACAGTTGAATTATTAAATATTACCAGTCAAAGTACAAATTCCAAGAATGAAGGAAGAGCTTATCGAATTATCCTAAAAAGAAATTCTATGTATGCCCAGCAGATATTACGTGCTAACATTTTATACTACTAAACATCATAACCCTTCATATTGCAGAAGTTACGGCAAGTAAGAGGATGCTGTACGCTTCATTTTGAGGAGGAGACTTCTTAATGACAGTGGCACTAAAAGCTTTTGTTTCTTGCCTTTAGGTGAAAAAACAGACAGAGCTAGATCTCTTTTCGGTGCTCTCAAAAAGCTACATCTGACATTTTAAATAGTAAAGCTTGTTCTTGTTTGGGAAATATTATATTAAGAAAAAGGGATATTGTTTTCAAAGACTGCTGGGTATATTAGTGCTTTGGGATAAAAATCACTATATGAATGCAAGAAAGGAGAAGAACAATAATAATTATGAAATACAGTTTAGGAGTTTGCTTTAGATTCAGGAATATAGGACCAAAAGAGAATTTTAGAGGTTATTTTTCTATGGAAGATGTTTTGTAAGATTGACTTGACATGGGAACTACAGTTTAGAGCATTACAAAATCATTCTTACAGAAACTGGACTGCAAAGACAACTAATTGAGCAGTGGATCCATGATTAAGAATCTGTGTGTGTGTGTGTCACTGACCTCTCCCTCTTCTTGAGGTTCCTCTGGTGGCTGAACTCTGATCCTTAGCACCTCGTGCACGACCTCTCCCCCTGCCACGGGATGGGGGAGGAGGTGGGGAGATGCTGTCATCAGAGTCTTGGCCAGTGGGGTCTCCGAACAGTTCCATCTCGTCATCCAGGAATGTGGACATGGACGGTCTCTCTTCCCGAGTGCGGTGTGCTTTAGCCCTACTAATAGCCTGGACAAAGGGGAAATGGATTAGCTTTCAGAAGGGGCTAGTACATCCAAATTAAAGCAACAGTTCATTTAAAAGCACAAGGATCACTTCCCTCGAATTCACCATATCACACAAGGTACTAGAGTGTAAACTGGGACATGGTCGCTCACCTCTTGTACTTCCTCGTCCTCCTCGGCAGTATTCTTCTTTGATTCTCTCAAACAGCGAATCTGCAGGTGAAAAACACATAATACACACAAGCGAGAAAAAGGTTAAGCACATACGTTGATGGGCCTTAAACAATTGCAATGAGGTGGTCAGAATCTAAAATAGCACTTAGCAATAATTTAAAACTTAAACTGCACCATAATATGTTTTTTGTACTTTAAATGACAGTAATTGGAACAGAAAATGTGAATGACTGATTTGTAGTTCTGTGAATGCCAATGCAAAAGCTTTCAGTTAGTGCTGGTGCAGATGTGTATATATGCATTATGAATTTCTACCTGCGAGAACATATGCTGTGCACTCCAGTATATTGATTTAACAAGTGCGTGAGCACTACACCACCTGAGCAAGGTTTTCAGCTCTAGCAGTCTTACTCAGAGGCTGCAGGCACAGCAAAGAGTCAGGAAGAGTGGTTTCAGTGGTTCCGCAGTGCACAATGCACTACATTACTGAATGTCATTTACCTCACCAATGTCAGGTTATATGTTTGCTTCTGTTAAGTCAGAAACACATGTTAGAAACACACTTTGAATCCTTTGTGTTGTCATGTTGGTGTCACAGCACAAGAAAGACAGCTCTCATGTCATAAAACCTTTAAACACAATAACATGAAGTTACATGATATGTAACTGTAGACTAATCTGTTCTTACTACACTATCTGACATGTAACATACTGGTGAAGTTCACAGGCTGCTTATTTATTTTGTTGTTAAGATAAAAACATTTTTATAAAGTGCTATGTTTCTAAGATTATGCTTTATCCATACAAAAGTAAAAATCCCTTCTCTCACCCAGCAAATGATGTATCATTTTTTTATCTAGGTTTTCTCATTCATATTATTCAAAAGGAAAAAAAAAAGTTTAATCACTGAATCAGAACCTAAGGCACATAAAGAAGACTAAGCTTAGTAAACACTTGAGCTATTATAAGGCTCAGACATGTCAACCCATCACAGTAATCCACACATCAATAAAGTATAATATTCTTAGATGATTTGGGATTAATGAATATAGACTAAGGATGAAAACAGACTGAAGAGCTTATTAAGTTATATCTTATTATAAAAATCTGTTTTCAATGTTTCCTCTTCACATCCTTATATAACACAACACCTGCTATTACTTAGATGACATCTTTAGATATCATTCAGTTACATTCCATGATTTAAAACATTTCCTTAACAAGCATAATATCTTGGAAAGAGGTGAAAAAGTCCAAAACCGTACATAACTTAAATAGTATCATAAAAATGTTTTATAAACTTAGTCTGAGACTGACTCTTGAAACCATTTAGCATAGCTTTGGGCAAATATGCATGAAAAGGTAAATCCAGCTCTTCAATTTCAGTATGTTGAGCTAAGAACATTTCTTTAGCAAACTCACTCCTGCAACAGCTTTTGCTGTTTTCTCACACAAAACGTTATTTTGTACCATGCAAAGAATATAGTATACTGTATTTGTGGGGATTTAAAAAAATCTTACAATAAGCAAGACAACTAGTCTGTTATCAGTTCATTATAACACTTAGTAGACCCTGACTTCACAAGTTCTTTAATATTTGAAAATAACAATATTGTATCACATTCTGCTGCTGTACTGTAATTTTAAATTGGAACCAAATGCATAAGAATAAGTTTAAAAAACATAAGTCTCTGACACAATATTAAGATAATTTAACTTTTATGAAAAGCTAGAAACTAATAGTTGGTTTAATAATTTAGTTGGTTTAATAACTAATAATTTAGCTACTTTTATAACTCAGAAATTAGTTAAATTGTTTCTTCACGTGCTCAACTCTTTGTACCTCCCACAGTGTTTTCCTTCAATGGAAACTATTAATGTAATAACTTAATGTATTTTACTGTGCCATTTACAGAGGAAGAAAGGCAGCTTACTGCTGGCTCATAATATGAATGTGATTCGGCACTGCTAGTGTTCCTGCTGCCACAGAGAGAGTACTGATCCCTTGGGCAAAATACAGTGAAGGGTTCTGAACTCATTCAAGCCAGGACAACTGTATCTGACATTTCCTTACAGACTGCCCACCTAGGTTCCCTGCTCCTTCAGTCCACAGTCCCAGCCCCCTGTATCATCTACTGCTCTCACTTCTGTCTTCTTTGTTACCTTGGTAACGCGTGACAAAGTAAGAAAGGAAAAGGCATCTGGGCTAACACATGGGTTCTGGGCATTAATAGAAGATTGGCGTGGAGAGAATCAAACAGAGTTACTAATGTATGATGCTACCCCCTCTCAAAGCCAGCACTTCACCAAAGACAAGTGCGACAAATGGAAGATGACAAAGACTGTACAAAAATGGATATCCTTTAAGAATCTCAAATTGATAAAAAAAAGTACCTTGCAACTACTAGACTTCACCCCAGAACTTTTAAACTATTTAATTTCCTTAAGTCAAAAGTTATTTTAGATCAAAAATTGGAATTTCCAGGGGAAAAAGAAGGTATCAGTACTGTAAATATACTGTACTGTATGTGTGGTTGTGTGTGTTGGCGGTCTGGCCCATGTGAGGCTGGGGCTCAGTGCCAAAGAGGCCACCGGTAGGGTCCATGATGCTTGTGGCGTTTCATGGTTGGTAGACCAGAGAGCAAAAACATTTGCTGGGGCTTCGAGTCATTATGTTTGTAAAGTTTGTGCCTGCATTTTTGCATTTATCGACTATATAGTCAGAGCTCAGAGTTATGTTTTATTTTGTAATTTCTGTAATGTCTTTTGACTCAATGATAAGAATGCCACAATAACACAGCCAGGAACACCCTCGATTTATGTTTGCATACATGTAATGTGTATGTTGCATACATGTAAAGTGTGAAGTTCCCTGAAGTCACACTGCCAGGAGCATAATAAGGGTAATACAGGAAACAGTAGAAATGTCACATGACTCTCACAATGGAAATTGTTTAATTAACTAAAGGTTGGTTTTGAATTTGGCCAAATGTGGAAGTTTTTCCTTTAATAATACTTAATAATGTGTTTAGTCATAAAGGATTCCCAAGTGCTTTACATAACAGAGAGGACCCTTACATTTCACAAATGTAGTGCAGCACCCACCTGGGTGACACTTGACAGCCGTAATTCATCAACAGCCCCACTAAACAGCAGATAGGGAAGTGAATAATTGTTTCACCGAATTAATTAAGTGGGATTTTTGGGAAGAACAGATGTTACAAATATAGCTCCATGAACAAAAAAATTAATTAAAGCATTAGAGACGAAACAAGCAGGTGAGTTCACCGACCTCCTCATCAATCTTTTCCTCCACGGCCTCCACCTGGCGTTCCTTCAGGAGGCGCTGTGTTTTCTCCAGTTGGAAGTTGACCAGCTCCTCGATGGCATCCTTCTCCTCTTTGTCCACAAATTCCTGGACTGCTTTGCCCATCCCCTGCTCTGTCAGCAGTGAGAGCTGCACATTCTAGAATAAACCAATTTTAAGCAGCCGTTAGGCAAAGAGCTAGCTTGGCAATTCTGGTCCTTTAGAGCCAGTACATCAGCAGGTTTTTATTTTAACTCATCTCTTTACAACCTAAATCAGCACAACTTCTCCTAAACTGACCAAGGCTGCCCACCCATACAATAGCCAATAAGAATCTGAAACTTTTGTTACCCACAGACATCAGAGTAGTTCTCTTGGACATGGAGATGTTAAATAGCTAAATTAACCTACAAACAATTCAGCCACACATTCAAAGATGCAAAGTGGAGGTAGGGGTTGCTGGTCAGGATATGGGAGATGTTGAGATACTCTGAAAGAGTACAGGAGTCAAACACAAAACATTGACCGGCAAAAAAAGGGAGCAAGGGAAGGCTGTAAGAAAGAATGGGTATGAGTTGTGGTCCCAAATGAAAAATAAACTCGTCTTGAGCCCATGATGGTTCAGAACAAGACCAGAGGAGAACCTAGGCTGGGGGTGGAATTCAATGGCAATTACCTGGTGGCCAAAGTACCCACTTAAACCAGCTGGACTTTATGGAACTGTCTATGAGCTGAAAAGTGAGGATCTGTTGCGATGCCAGTTTTGTAACAAGAGTGATGGTTCACAAACGACTGGACATTGGCAGCAGAGACTGGCTACTGAGATGCTAAATGCCACATCTCTGGCAGGGAATATGCTGGAGCAGGTGGAAGAGATATAAATGTGCCTATTAGATATTATCAATCTCAATTACCAAACAAGGGTGGTCTCTTTCATATATAAAGAAGCCTTCTTAGAGCAACCCTGAGAGTATGGAGTCCTAGTGCCACTTTTGCATGCTATCTACTGCAGGTGTTTTAATCTCTGTGAGTGAGAGCTGTGTCCAAATTCTTATCATGAAGTCGAGTTCAATCAAAATGAGCAGAATTGGCCAAGGGTGTATTTTGGCTCCACGGTTTCTGATTTTCATGGGCAAGACATCAAGGTACCACTGAGGTAAGCAAAGGAATGGGTAAAGGTTTATTCCATACTGAAAGGAAAAGAAAAAAGGCACACTGTTTTGGCTGTGAAGCCTCCTGTTCCTTTGCAGCAACCTACACATGCTGACACAGTTCCCTACTCGAAGGACTGAGGTATGGAAGAGTATCACTGGGGGCTTGGTGGTGACATCTCTGCTATTTCTAGGCCCTCTCCCAGAGAAAAGAGGATCCTTAAAGGAGGAGTTGAAGTATCTTTTGTTTTTGCTCTCAAAGTGATGCCAAGCAGGAAGGTGAGACTGAGCAGTGGAATGGTACAGTATCAGTAGTGTTGTAGGCATTGTGCCACCCCGTGGTAGTGAAGGAGGAACCCAGATTTCAGACAAAACTCTTGTTTTACAGACTAATCTTTGTCCCCATTCTCAGCTATGGTCAAACAATGGGCAATGACTGAAAGGTCAAGATTACAGATACAAGACATGAGGTTTCTGTGCAGGCTGTTGGGTTTACTCTCCAGGAAAGGGTGTGAAAATCTTAGAATAAAGCTACTATGCTCCTGAACTGGGAGGAACCAGTAGAGGTGACTCAAGTCGCCTGGTAAGGTGCATTGAAAATGAGATTAGTGTGCTGTCTTTCTATTGCCTGTCAAGTACCACATATGACATCTGGGCTTAACTTTCTGCCTTGTCTTTTTCCTTCGGCATCCAACTTCTTTTCTCTCTTACCTTCTTTTAATTAAAGGGGCAGTGGCAAAGGAAATGCATGAGTTTCAATGCACTTGCCAATGTTAAATTACAAAACCAATACCTGATAGTGGGTTCCCAGTGGATTAAGAGAAGGAGCCCAAGTCAAACAAAATGCACCACTGGGAACTGGGTTTGCAATTTGCAAAAAAAAAATTGAACATGTTAAAATTAAACAGGTGCTATGATAAAGGGATTTATGCAACTTTGAATGCAAAGCTATTCACAATTAAGTGAAAATTAATTGAGGTTTGGCATGATTAATCAGATTAATTCAAACTGCCAATAGTGGATGCATAATTTGAAAACACCTGTTTGTCGCAGAATAAAGAAACCGTGCTCGCAAATTAAATTTCAAAGGACTGCTTTCCATTCATGCTGCTCTTCGTTAATATTCACCTCTGACAATTTCATTCTTGTTCTGTCCTGAGATAAACTCCTCATGCACTGTTGCACTAACACATCACATATCAATATGCAAAAAAGGAACCAATTCAAATTGGTCATTCTGAAAGCTCTACATCATCCTGCTCTCAGGGGGCTTCGTAGTATTAAGTGCTCCTCCAATAGCTGAAGGACTCAAATATCGCTGAGGAAAATGTCATGTGTCATTATGAAACAAGTAGGAACAGTAAATAAACAGTTTTGTAGGCAGACAATTATCAGCAAAGAACATTTTAGAATAACAAAGGAAACACGAATTTGAAGACAAAATTCACTCCCATGTCAAAGTATATTAAAGGATATTAAAATGCTATACTGTGACCAAAACAAACAATATTGCAAAATATCTGATAATTATACTTCTGGACCTTTTTAAGTCTATGAATAAGACTGAAGGTTTATTTTTATCATGACGCAGAATGTTTTCTTCCCACGTAATTAAAAAAATTCCCTTTGATACCAGAACAAACAGCCCTGATGTTCCACAGTGCAACTCTTGCCACTTCCAGGTTAATTATAGCTAGATTTGGTATAGAGATGTTTATGCTGAAATTATATAAACATTATACCATAACACAGTATTGGCATATTCAACTGGAGCGACTTACAGAGCTTAATAAAAATGGACTGCTTAAAAAATAAAATGAAAATGCATGAAGCAGAAGTGCAATATATTTCCCCATTCCATATTCAGTTTTTTAAATCTCTAGAAGCCAGCAGTTTTTAACTAGAGGAACTTCAATCAAGTTTTGACATCAGTGAAGATTTAACGGGATTACATTTTGAAAGTGTCATAGAAATTTAATTCAGAATGGGACAGCAACAATATTTCACACACCGCCTGCCAAAGTGGCATCAAACTGTGTTTATTTGTACCCCCGGCTAAAAGTACTTTTCAATTCATGATACAACACACCGTTAACCAATGCAGGAATGTCAAACTGTTTTGAAGATTTTGACTGAAAGCCACCTACTGGGTGTTTTGAGGAGCACTGAAAGAGAAATATTTGGCTTTTCTGCTGCTATATCACTAAAAAAACTTAGGCATGTTCCGTTTGTTCTGACCCTTCTGTCAAAATTCACAAGGTCTATTCTAAATACACTTTAACTCAATAACCATGCTGTATATCATCTTCATGTTCCATTTTATAAACTCAAGACTGTGCAATGTTAAATGTTAGGTCATGAATAAAAAAACATATAGAAAATAATACACTCAGTAAGAGAGAAAAGCAGAGTCTTTTTTAGCATATCCAATATGCATTAACATCCAAACTAAGGATGTGTTTACTAAAACTTTAAAACGGCAGACAGTAGCCTCTAATGTTCTAGATCAAGAGTGTCCAATCCTGGTTCTAGAGTTTTGGTCTGTTTGTAGGTTTTCATTCCAAACCAGCTCAGCAAGTAAATATCACATTTCATTAGTGCTTTGAAGGGACTGGCATGAGCACAGTATATATTCTGCCTGTTTCTTTTCTCATACTCACTCTCTCTGCTGTTTCAAGGTACTGTTTCACCAAGTCCTCCACTCTCAGCTGCATTACTTCCGAAGAGGTCCTGCTCACAAGCTGGTCAAAGTTTATATTCTCATCTCCTTGAAAAATCAAGAAAAATACAAGAATCATTCACTGTGAAATAATAAAACTTCTAACCATGGTGCTTTGGAGATCTAAATTGAGTTTTGCAGCCTCCAAAATAAAGAAATACAAGTTTAAAACAGTTCACAACAGTTAGTTTTCTTTCCAAAAAGATGTGCCTTTAACTATACTTGAGGGAATATGTGACTGAGTCTATCAGAATGTCTTCATTAAGATGGGTTGTACCCAGGGGACTGACTATATTAATTAATTGAAGTGTATTGTTAAACTGCATTCTAGAACAAACACTGGGAACCTTTTCCATCCTTTGCATCTCTGTGCCTGAAGAAGTGAATAATGTCTTTAGGATTTGCCACACGGTCCACAAACTTCTGCCTGAAACGCATTGTGTTGAATGGTTCAAATCCTCCACTGTAGTCAACCTGAGAGACAGAAAGGAAAGAAGCCTTTGTACTTCCCAAACATTTTAGTCCTGCAAGCTATAGGGGATCCTTGTTACAAATACAATAGCTATCCTTACAAGGTTAAGAAAACCGCAGAATTCTCAACAAAAATTGCGTGCACTGTAATTGCTACAGGTTGATTTTCAAGCAGTTCTCATTCTTCATAAGGATACATTTTTGCTTTAGAAAACGTATTGTCAATGACACTGGTTACAAATTATTCCTGCCAAAACCCCACTTCCCTGCCTTCAAAATTCCACCGCCCCACTTCCCCCTGAAGGTCCAAATTGAAAAATCCACAAATACCCCCAGAGTACACTACAATTCCCTGATTGTAATGTTAGGGTGCTACATGAGTAATCACTCCAGTTGGAACAATTATTCTAAAAAATGCTCACCTAAGACCCTAAAAAAAAACCTCAAAAGGCAAGTGCTGAAATGCAAGAGATATTTACACAAAGAGCCTAGACAATTGATTGAAAGTGCTCCTTCAACTACAGTATGCTTCTGTGCTAGCTTATACAAAATAGTCAATCATAAACGTTTGGGAGGAAAGTAGTCATTTTCTCTTTTAAACCATGCTTTAGAAGATGTGGGCCTTACACATCAAGACCTCATACTTAGAAGATAAAAAAAAAATATTGTCAAGAGTATAAATATAATACGTACAGAGCAACTTCATATACTGTATAAAATCTAAATCAATTGCATTAACTGTATAGATCGCCTCACTTAGTTAAAACTTCACCCACTTTTTGCTCTTAGAAACCTTTCTTTTGAGTGTATCTTATCAAAAAATGACTTTCCTTTCCTTGAGTGTTAGTCTGTCTGCAAAAAAGTACTCACTCCACTGTAATCGCACTCACCCTCAGCCGAATGAGAGGTTTGTCTGGAATGTGGGAATTCCCAATTCGCTCTCGTTCAGCCTCATCAAGCATTTCTTCAACCTGTGCGAAAAACGGGGCATCAAATATTACTACCCAGAATACCAAAAACTTCAATAAAGTAAACCTTACTGGATAGTAAGTCACTTACTGGTCATTCTGTATTCTCTATAATGAGACTGGATGCCATTAATGTTTGGTTTTCTGTAGGGCCTTTTTCTGGTGAGCACCAGCCCAGATTGTTTTTTTAAGAAAATGGTTGACAAAAAGGCAAAGCAAGTGCATGGTACAATGGTAAACTACAGAAAAAAATCATTAGCATTAATTATTAAAAACCACAATAAAAGCTACAATTTGAAACATACTCCATGTTACTCTTCTACTGTTTGTATTGTATGTATTGTATTATTATTATTGTATCAATCGTTACACCGTGTCTGTGTTAAGCTGCTGTTGCACTGCAATTTCCCTCACAGGATAAAGTATCTGTCTATGTAATTTTCAGTCATTTTGATCAGTTTCTAGAGTTAATGTGGAGCTGAAAAGCTAATCATGGTCTCACAATTCAGAGAATAAATATCTCATTGGAAACAGTATTGAAGACATGGTTAAGGGAAAGACAAAGAGAACACACTATTTCAGTTTAGATTTGAACAAGAGGACAATTTTGGACAAGTCAAGACAGTCACAAACTTTATTGACAAGAAAAACAGTGTACTTAATAAGTCTGCTATATTTAAAAATTTACAATTTAATTCATAACTAGAAAAGTACCCAAAATCAAGCTGCATTCAAGCAGCTGCAATCAAGCAGCTGTTTCAAGCTGCATTTTCAGAAGGCTGGTTAAGCAAACTAAAAAAATGACAATATCAGATATCAATTAAAGCAAACTTTATTACGAAATCAAATTTACTTCATTATAGCATGAGGTAATACTTGTTTTCCCTCTGAACTATGACAACATATGTGATACCAGTCATTACCATTTGCGTTCACCTCTCTGCTCATCTGGGCTTTAAAACTGATTAAGCAACTCTCTAATAAAACAGAGCTGTGGTGTTAAAACAGGGTTCATCTGAGCTGTGAAGGAGAAGATTAATTATTGATCTTTTTTGTCACCCTCCAGTGGCTCATTAAAAAACCTGCAGCACAAGAAGGTCAAGTTCAAACAGACTTTTAATTATGTCTTTAAGATATTGCAAAAGCTTAAAACTACAATAAGTAAACTACTGTGGCTTATATGAATACAGCATTTAACCTTAAATCTAATTCCATTTCAAACAGCTATATTTGTAAATTATACCATTTGCACCATGTAATACACGTTGTCTAATCAAACTTAATGAATTGCGGTTATTTAGAAGTTTTCTGGGTAACAAACAAAAACAGGGATCTTTTTTAACACAATTTCATGTAAACCTACATCACCAATGTTCTAGGTGTAGTGACAGGAAAAGCTCAGATGGGTGTGCAGTGAAAAGCATGGAGAGACATAATGACAAGCATTCAGAAAGCACTATAAATGCACTTATACTGAGATATTGGAAATGATTCATTTCTCATACAGCCTTGAAGTAATGTTAGCTATTAATCATACCTCAGCTATATTCCTCACATTCTACATAAGATGCACACAAATTGAAGTACTGTGCTCTTCTGTTGAAAGTGGATCTATTGAAATACAGTTTAGCTGAGGAAAAAAACACTTTTCTAATTCACAAATTTACCATTAAGTGAACAAGCACAAAGGGAATTAGTCTTTATGTCTAATTACATTTTTAATAATTCTAAAATTCTCTAGGATGCAGTGGGTGCTTTATTATGCCCTTGAAAAGCTTAGATGATCAAGTAAAAGAACAACTTTTTTCTAGCCCTTTGCTAGACAGGTTCTGTAGATTTCTTTCAAGGCAAAATGACTTCCCCAGCTTATAAAGTAAATTTAGTAAAAAGAGGTGCAAGGAGAAAATAACACACTACGTGATGCCAAGAAGCAATTTTTTTTCTTTGTGACTTGCCTTTGCACTGTCACCTCAGGTTTTTTTGAGGATGATTTCTCGGGGAAAAACTAAGCAGCTTGAGAAAAATAACTGAGAAAGAATCATCACAACAACCTAATACTGTAAATGAAATAGGTTTCAAAGTCAAATAAACTTAAGCATCAGGCAGCACAAATTGTATGCTACAGGAGAACCGGTATACTGTATGAACCTCTTCACAGAACAAGGAATAATATGAGAAAGAAGGGATACAATGAGAGGAGACCATTCGGCTCATCTTTTTCAATTAGTTACTAAAAAGATCCTACAGAAAAGCAATTGTATAACAGACTACAGTGAAACAACAGGGAAAACTCACTGTATGAACCTCCACAACATAAAGTTTGCTACCCTAAAGAAAATTAATTTGCCCTTACCAAACAAAACCATTATAAACAGGATCATGGCTATGTACCTTTGCGATGCAGAAAGTCTCGATTTTCTGTGTGACTTTGGGGTGGTCAGGGTTGAAGAGGCTACTGTGGTCCGCCAGTACCACATCCTGGATGAAGAATTGACGCACAGTCTGGAGAGGGATCTTCTGCAGGTTCATTTTCTTTCCCTTCACTCGCAGCAGACCCACATGCCTGGCAAACCAAACATCAAGGTTAAAGGGGAACTGCAGTCCCAATGTCTTAGACCAGTTATTAAATCTCGGTAACTAAATAAATTCAATGACGTTATAGAAAGACTTTACAAATTCCAAGCTAAGCACAAAATCGTGTACCTTGTGAAAGTATTGTAAGTCACCATGTTGTCGCAAAACCCCTGGTCTCGCCATGGGCAAGAGCAAGACTTTGTGCAAATTGCAACATAAAGCAGCCCTTCCTGCTCACTAGTCACCGTAATCACTAATGTAATGCGATGTACGAGCAAATAAATACAGGTTGCTTAGCAGACATTTCACAGCAGAAATGTTCCAATGTGATCTGCAGTTAACACGTTGTATTTGTCGCCAAAAAACCATGTCATTAACAGAAAATAAACAGAATTCAGGTTTTAAGGGAAATACTTCCACTAACAACAGAAACAGCTGTAGAACTCCCAAGAAAGAAGCATTTTCTATTTTTTATACAGCTACTCTCTTAAAAATCAAACTAGCGATATTCACAGCAGCTCCAGGTCTGCTTGCACTCCTGCGAGTCACACCACAGCTTAGTAACACTGGGAACAGGGAAGTCATGCTTACTTCTTCTCCGCCTCTCCTGGGGACAGGGAGGTGACCACAGAGCTGCCAGGCTGCGTGACATAGAACAGCTGCTGCTCGTTGCGAACGGGTGAGATTTTACACTCGTGCTCGTGGCCCCACACCACTAAGTCCAGGAAGTCGTCTAGAAACTGCTCGGGGATGTAATTCGTGGCACCATGTTTGCTCCTTGAACAGAAAAACAAACGCACAAAGAGGACCGTAAATCATCTCTTCTTGCAGTAGCTCTTTGTCAACTTCAGAGGCCACTGAATTGGTATTCAGCTGAATACAGTCATCATTAATAAAAATTTCTAGTACATTCCACTTTGATTTAAAGAAATCTTGCTATTGAAGTGGCAAGAATTTCACTTATTTTACCTCTCTTTATTATTACTCTGAGACAGAGCTGAAAGATGAGATGACATTCAATGGATTTACAATGACCCAGGTCGACATGCCAAAAATAATACTTCTGAAAACCACCAACTGGTCCTTCAATGAGTACAGGAGGCAGGAAGGAACTTAAAAGGATTTCAAAGCTAAGCTGGCAGACAAATGAAGAAAATATGTTTCTATCAACACCTTTATTTCACACTTCACTGATCAGGAATGACAATGTACTGTGGTTGATGCAGTCATATAGGTGACATACTTTAGATTGCCTCTTATATCTCTGGCCCAGATACATTTCAGAAGCAAAGCTTATTTTGCAGGAATTAAGTGCTCTTTTGTTTCAGAAAGCAGCTGTACCTATTCTGGTGAATAACAAACAGGTTAAACCAGCTATTTTCATCCTCCCTGGGTCGAAGCATGACCACCTGGTTATTGATAAACATCCTGTAAAGCCTCTCATCGGGAATGGAGCCTGAAAGAAAAGCAGAAAGATATTATACTTGCTCCTGATGGATATCTTTGCAATCCCCAAATTATCAACCGCGCAGGGAATCAACTCCAAAACCTTTAACAGGATGACAACCCTTTTAAATAAACTTGCCCAGGTGACAATGAGATAAAAACATAGTAAATTGTTAGTGGTCACATAATGAGAGATTTCTGGGGCACAGAGTACTTCCAATTCAAGTTGTGTATTAGACAGCCACCATATTGCTTGGACTGCAAGCCTACACTGAGACAAAACAAATATAACATATCCTATTTTAAAAGATAATAAATATCACTTTCTGAAGCATAAAAATCTGACTTGGTGATAAAAGTGCACTTTTGCAGTCTTTAAACACTATTTGCAGCTTAAGTGCCTTAAATAACAAAACCGGGACAGGACTACAAAAAAGGGTCTAAAATTGTAGTTCACAGTTTTGACCTCCTAAATAAGACACTCTAAATAAAAAAATGCTCTACATTAAATTCTCCTTCTTCTCTACACAGGCTTACATTTGGCTCATGGTCACACCGCAGATTGAATCAGCCCTTTGTGTAGAGTGAAATGGAAAAAAGTGAAGTAGATTTCTCTAAGAGAAAAAAAACAAGTCACTTACTGTAACTCTAAAGTAGTACACTTGGACCAGCTTGTGCTAAGTACTGCATATGGCACAAAATAGCACTTTGAGAAGCCACCTTCAAAAGCATTATATAAAATAAAGTTTATTATTACAAAATGCAAAGGAAAATTCATTTTATTAATTTGAGTTTAAAGCCAAAAACCTTTCTGTACTCTTTCAATAGTAAAGAATACTTTTGAAAACCATAGTGTGCTTCTTAGAACAAGACCTCATATCAAGCAGCTCATTAGCTTTAGAACAGCAGAATAATCTCATCATAAACAAATGAGCTTCCCTGTGAGGGTCCATGTTAGGTGGAGAGCTAAAAGAGTCAAATACCATTAAAAAAGTATATTGAACATTAAAAGAAAAGGATGGTTAATAATTGCAACAAATTCATAAAGCTATTACCTGAAAAATTATCTTTTTTGCTCTGATATCTTATTGAACACACAGAACATAGCTCAATTCATTAGGTTCATGAACATCTGTGATCAAGAGGATTGATCAACAGGGAATCTGCTGTGATCCTCAGGCTGGTATGGTTTGCATCCACAGCTGGAAACATTACAAGCTGTGACTCATGCTTTGCACTAGGTTGTCTTGTGGGATTCTGTCCCTTTTCTTTCATTCATCCTGGACAAACATCTGTCTGTTCCCTGGCTCCTGAGTCCTAGTGTAAATGCCAAGTGCCATCGGAGCACATTTCATAAATGTTCGATCAAACTCACATCTAGCAAACAGGGCATTCTCATCTCCCAAGAATTCCACTGTTACACGAGCGGCACTTTTTTTGTTTTTCTTTCTTGATTTTCACCAGGCTTGACATTCAGCAGATTAAATCACCTCATCGCCTGTACCCAATCAAGTCTCTGACTAATGCCACAGTTAAAGGCACTCAAGAGTAAGTCAGCCAAGAATGATCACTTAGACAAAATGATGGCGACACCATTTAATCAACATACTAAATGTATATACTTTATTTTTCTAAAAACACATGTAGAGAGGTAGGTTTATTTTGCATGTGAAAATCACAACAGCCCAGATCTAGAACCTCGAGCAAAGCTGTGGAAAGGAGAAGATCTGGGTAAAAAAATGTAGGGAGTATCATACACCTTTTCAACCACACCTGGGAGGACTGAAATATTTTGTGTTCAAAACCACTTGTGCAAATATGGCTCCATTAAAACCCCACCTTGTGTGGACGGTATTTTATGTTGAACGGCATCAATAGATGTATTAAAGTGCTTTATTTACACTAGTGGCTTTTGGTGAACTCAGATTACACTACAAACACCAAAATAAAGTCCATGAAGAGAAAAAAAACCCATGAAAAACAAGGGCCTAGTTTCCCCTTTAGAGAGTGTTTTAACAATCAGCTCTGTCTAAAGATATGGGTGTCTTATTGCTTCACAAAGCTAACAAAGCCACTGCTGCACCCATGCAGCTTGTATTTATGCAGACATTTTACTTTGTCCAATGATAAAAAAAAATCCCTGACTTCCGCCCATAAATGGAAAACAATGGTTGCGCTTTGAGTGCAAAACACAGCCTGGCCAAGTGATCCTCGACCTTGAACCAGTAAATATGACCACCTCCTGAGAACAGACCAGATCTTAAAAAGGTGGAGGCAGATAACAACTGCAGTTGCCACACTTTTACTTTGGTTTTATTGAGCAACTATAAATTGGTTTTGCAAACTGACTAATAACATGCAGGCTTGACACTAGCTCCTCATCAATACATAAAGAATGTGGCATTTTAAAGAAATGTTTTCCACATCGGATTTTAAAAAAGTATAGGAAATATACAATTAATACAATTATGTACAGGCTTGGTACTTTTCAATGCCAAGTATTTTGTCCTGGTATCTTCTGGTCAGAAAAAACAAGTCTGTTAACTGTTCTGTTTAAACTGACTTTGACACTTGCTAATTGCTTTCTGTCTGACAGGAGGCTGGGGAGCTTCATCTTTTAACTTTGGAATTGTGGATTAATTAACTGTTTATTCTGTGTGCGCGGATTAGTGGTAAAATGAAATGACTAAATTTAGATACTGTGGGAAAGATATATCTATCGAGCCTTTGAAAAAATGAGGTATGTGGTTTTTGAAAACTTACATTTTGTACAAAAGGCTTTGTTTTGAAAGGTGAAGAATATATTTATTTAAACAGGCTATGGATATTTAAACAGACTAAACATGTAAAAAGAAGTAAAGCAGAAGCTCCAAATGAAAACAATGTTTTTCTATGCTAGTATTTTGTACACAGCAAAAATATAAGTGTATAAGATCTGCAAGGTGAAAGTTTATATCAGCAAAGGGCAACCACTCAGATTTCCTGCACTGCCACTAGTTAAGACTTAGAGCCAATGTGTGTAATGTGTAATGTTTGAGTGACTGAGAGGACCTATGAGTGTTAGAGCTTGTGACTGCTGCACAAGATTACAAGGCACCAGGTGTGCCTTGGAAAGTCAGTTGAGCTGCCATTGAATTGATTCCATGGGCACCTGGGAGTATAGTGCGATGTCAAACCAAAGAGAGCTATGGTAGAAATTTTGACAGCTGTGAATTTAACATTGGAAAATTCAGTTATTAGAAAGAACAGCAGAGTGGGATAAAACCAAGCTTAAGGTTACTACACGTAAATTTAAAATTGGCGGTACAACAGACTAGGATTGAGAGACAAATCTAGCTAGTGGGTGAGCCTCTCACTCCTTGCCACTTGCCCAAGTACCCACTACCCAGCATCCTCATCTCAAAGCGGTCTTGTTTTTTATATCGTAACAAACACTCCAGGTTCTGTGTCAGGGAATGACAGGCTGGAGATGACTTTACAGACTCCCCGACAGTTTTATTGCAGAGCTTCATTACCATACATATCATATACTATAGTACATTCCGCGACAGTATAGGGGATTTGGCTATGTGCGCATTAGGCTATTTGTGAAATTGAGAACCTACTGTACAATCTTCCCAGGACATTTTTAAAGAGCAGAAATGTGCTTTTCATGATCGTAGGCTAATCATGCCCTATTTCCCACCTTTGTTCCAGGCCCTGTCGCACCAGGAAATAAGACACTCACATAGTTCATGCGACACATGAACAAATTGTGGCAAGATTAAGCAACAGAAAAGGAAAAGGTCTCCTTAAACTTCTGTAATGTATCAGGTAGCCTTATAATTTGCATTCATTCATGGATTTTCAGCAAAGAATACAATATAAATCTGAAAGATGTGGCTGCTTAATTATAATAGCCTTTTTATCCAATACATTTTTTTCACTTATCATTTATTATGGTGTTGGTTTTTGAACATTTTCATATCTTATACTGAAATTTATTTGAAAATTATCTGACACATACATTACTGCATAATGACATTGAATAGTACCAACTGTGATAAACTACCATGTTTATCACATACTTTTGATCTACTACTGCCAGAAGATTTATGATTATCAAAATAAGAGGTGATAAATTAAGTTAATCATTAATTCCAGATTTAAAATCCTACTGACTAAATCGAATGCTTAAAATGTTGAACACTGTAAAATAACAGCCACACAAGTACTGTATAATTAATAAATAATCCTTAACATTTCCAGGCTAATTGTCATTCTAATAAATTGGGACTCCAGAAACAAAATATTTTTAGATTTAGCCTGCTGTCATGATCATCCTAATACAACATCACTTTTAAAGGCTCATTTTAAGAGAAAAAGAAGAAACCTCTTGGGAACACTTGGCAAGTCTTGAAATCGTGACTGAAATCTGATTGTCACTATATAACTTATTAGTTTCTCTCCATCAGCCTTGTAAAGTAGGTTTAAAGATCAAAAGTTCAAAACTAACTTACCGATGCCATAAAGTGCTATCTTTGAGTTTCCTTTCTGCAGCAGAATTGGGCTTATTTCAATCTTCTCCACAGACTTAGAGTAGCCAAAGTGATTAACCAGCCCAGCACAGCTCAAGAGGTCTAATGCACACAACCCATCTGCCTGGGAGCAATTAAAAAGCAGGAATTTAGTTTGGGGCACAAAAGATTCCATTTTCAAAGGGGACTCTACTTAATGTGATACAAACACATGCATTTTCAGCAGTCCTAAATGGGACAAAAACAAATTAACAGCGCACCGCAATAAAAACTAATCTTGCAATGAAGTTTGTTTTAGTTTTACTATCCTTTTTGGCAACGTTCCATTTTCCCCATCAAACAATTAATCAATCCATTATCAAGAAGCAACTTAATGCGCGTAGGGGTAGGGCACCTCAAAGACTTATCCCAGAATCATGGGGAGCAAGATGTAACCATGTCTGGATGTCAGGTACACCAGTTCTTCACTGCACACACATACACAAGCTTAAAGGGACAACTTAGAGACAAAAATTAACCTTGCATCTTACTGTATCTTTGGTAGGGGAAAACCAGAGTACTAAGAGAAAACCCATGCATTCAATCTAAACACTGGGAAGCAGCAGTGCTACCTATTACTCCTGCTTGCTCCCCCTCATCTAAACACTTAGTTCATGGCTAGTAAACATTCCAGGAATGCTGCAGAACTCATTACCCCTGTGGGATCATCATGGTTGCCATGCACACTGAACACTGGAATGGAGATGTTTAGATTCCCATCTTGATAGTTAACCCATGGAAACCTGAAACGAACACAACAATCACAATCAGAGTGATTGTTCCAAAGCCAGATCAGAAATAAGCTGGAAAAGGGGCATGAACGATTAACATGGTAATCCACCTATGAAATGTTGCATACTCACCTGCTATTAGAAAAGTTGACGGCCTGATCACTCAGGATTTCAAAGAGTATGGGTCGGTCACCCATGCAGTATCTCCGGAGGATCTCCATGCAGCTGTGCAAGGTCTTTCGAGACGGTTTGTTGTCATGAAACAGGTCACCACCCAGCAATATAAAATCAACCTACAAAAGCACAGTTATGAGGGTAGTAGTATAACACATAGCTAATAACAGGGTTCAAGGCAGTTTTAATGGGACTAACTGTCCACAAACTCAGATCTTGGCCTTGGTAAGAATACAGAGAGCAACACATTCTCACACATAAAACTAAAAACTGTCAATTATAAATTAAGTTAAAAATACTTTATTCCAGATCTATGACTGGGAACGTGACAAATGAGGGGCTGAAACATGTGAGGTGAATTCAAATTTAAATGTCCTCCCTCTGTCTCTTACTTCATTCTCTTTTGCACAATTTAAAATTTCATTAAACGTCACAAAGGTATCATTTCCCCGGATCGCATCTTTCTCCATGTAGCCAAGATGAATGTCAGTAGCTATTAAAATCTTGAAAGTGTCCTCATCATCCCTGAAAAAAAACAACAGAAATAATGATGATGGCACCATGACAATAACTACTAATTCAGGAAGACAATCATAAAGAATTGCTTGCATTTGAAACAGTGATTTTCACCCTGAAAGATAACACAATGATTAATTTGTAGGAGATGTACTTCATCCATCACATCAGTGTAGGATCCAGCAGGGTGATGCATGGCAACCATTAAATACGAAAAACAAATACTACACAGCAAATCCGATGGAAAAGTGAGAAATTAGTTTACTGCTTGAATTTAAAGGAAACTGAAGGAAAGCCAGATTGTCAACGCCCAAAGTGGAGTTTAGTGAGGACATCGGAGTTTAGAAGGCTCGGGTTCCCTTTAACTATTGAGAATCATAAGGTTTGTGCAGAGAAATTTTATAATCTTTAATGAGACACTCACAGGCTATTTCCAGATGTCATTCTGAAGTTAAACCGTTTTCAGCCGATGCACATCAAAATACCCACAGCCTAAGCCTAGGGAAAAATGAAGAAAAGCTGTAAATACTGTAAGCAACAAAGCATCAGTCATTTTAAAATATACATTAAGTTGCAAAACATTGTACACTTTTATATTTGTCCATGCAAATGAGTATTTTAATTGCTTAACTGCAAAGATGACATGTTTGGATCATTTTAGTTCAATAATACTGTAGAGATGGGTGGAGACAGCTAAGAAACATGTCATGATTTACTTATTTATACTACACATGCAAGCAAAAACGGAAACCATTCTGTCAAAAAAACAGAAAGACCAGAAAAATAACTATTTCCGATGGTACATGAATTGAGAATGACTGGACAATAATAGGTAACAAATATTTGATTAGCTGTTGCAGTATTCATGCAAATGTTTCTGAAACAATACTGTGCAAAAAGGTAGATGTAACAGGTTAATAATGGCATTTAAATCCATTCCTTAGGAAAACTGAATGGATGGCTACGTAAGACCCAATAAAGATTGATTAAATTACCAAGTGTAGCTACCTCATTGTTTTTAACTGCTTGTTGTTTCTTTAAAGGCCGGAACTGCAGGCTCATACGACATTTGTTAAAACTACTTGAAATACTTAAGTAAAAAACACGTTACTGAAAATGAAATAATTATGATATTACATTAACGCAGTCGTAACAGCAAAAATGGACTATTTACGTATGTAATATGTGTCATTGAACTTTCCGACATGAATTAACAGAAACGCATTCAATTAATTCATTATGAATGAATGTTTTGATACCTTTTGTATTTCAGGACAACCTCTGGAATTGTTTTTTCTAAGTTAAGTCAGTTTCGCTCTCCACGTGAAACCTCACTCCTACGGAAGTAAATGATTGTTTACGAGCCAACGGATCCCTTGTGGGATTTGTAGTTTGTTTAAATTCGAAGGCAGCAACGAAATATGTAGCGGTGTGTTGAAAAAAGAACTACAATTCCCAGAAACTCTTCCGATAGCGATAGAGAAAGGGAGCAATGGATGGCCTGTTTAAAAAAGAGTGAGGCAATATTGGTAAGTGTGTTTAGATTACCCTATCTTAAAGCATTTTTAAGCGTGTTATGAGTACATCCCAGTTTTAGCTTGAACTGTGGTTTTATTTTAAGCTTCCTGTAGTTAGTAAGCAGCGTTGTGTAATTTGTAGAGTGTAAAACGCAGTCTCTTTATCGTTATTATTAAATGCTTAATTGAATAAGCATTTAAGTTATTTTCTAGAGATTGTTCACTTGATATGAATATATTCACTTCTTTAAAATAAAACAATGGATGCTTTAATATCTTATGATGGACTGCCCGTCCAGAATGCCGTCTCTCCTTGCGCCCTGTTCTTGTGGGATGTGCTCCTGGAGGAGTATGGATATTGTTTTAAATTTTGGGACAATCCAAATAATCCAAATTACAATCCAAATAATTTTTATCTCGTTTCGGCATATAGCTACCATGTTTATTTTTTATTGTTTATAATCTGAATTTGCAAATTCAGAAAGACTTCATTTTTGTGGCATTTGAAGAGATTTGACAGGCATCACAATTCTCGAGAGACACGTTGGTTCTTCATGTGTTTTGAGAGGCTACTTGGAAAATTAATTTTCCCCAAACCTCCTGAACAGTTTATAAATCTTCGTCTTGATGACCTACTATCGCTTATGCTTTTACACTTCAATTTGTATTGTTGCTAGTCAATAATCAATGGCAGTGGATTTAGGGATCTTAAATCGTGATGTGTTAAATGCAATATAATCTGGTCCGACCAAAAACCTGCCGTTAATTCGTTGTAGGGTACTCGGGAGTGGAACTGGGAGGTGCGTCATTTCAAGCAACAATAAATAAAATATCATCTTTATAAAAATGTATTCAAGATCACATTGTTTGAGTTTATTAATGTATGCTTCCATTTAAAAGCTGTGATTGTGTATCACCCTGCAACTCACAACTGGCAACCCACTGAAGCTAAGCAGGTGTGAGCCTGGTCAGTACCTGGATGGAGACTTCCTGGGAAAAACTAAGGTTGCTGCTGGAAGAGGTGTTAGTGGGGCCAGCAGGGGGCACTCACCCTGCGGTCTATGTGGGTCCATATGCCCCAGTATAGCGACGGGGACACTATACTGTAAACAGGCACCATCCTTCGGGTGAGATATAAAACCGTCATTAAAAATCCCAGGGCGTTTCTCGAAAAGAGTAGGGGTGTAACCCCGGCGTCCTAGCCAAATTTCCCATTGGCCCTTACCAATCATGGCCTCCTAATAATCCCCCTCTATGAATTGGCTTCATTACTCTCTGCTCTCCTCCCCACTAATAGCTGATGTGTGGTGTGCGTTCTGGCGCACTATGGCTGCCGTTGCATCATCCAGGTGGGGCTGCACACTGGTGGTGGTGGAGGGGAGTCCCCATTACCTGTAAAGCGCTTTGAGTGGCGTTTCCAAAAAAGCGCTATATAAGTGTAAGCAATTATTATGAATTAATTAAGATATCTCCTGCTGTCCATGCTGGTTCTACATTTCTGTTTTAGAAAAGGATGCCAGTTATACGTCTTAATTTACTACTAGTGTGCACAGTGCAACACACAACAGTCTTTCTGTTTTGGAATCTATGAATTTTTAGGGCATTCAGAAGCTTCAGTCATTTTTTATAAAAATACAGAACATATGAATCTGACGTGTAAAAATGCTCCTTGATTTTGTTTTTTAAGCCTGAATACCCAGAGCAAACGTTGCAGCGATATTTTTATACCTGTGTAGTTAAAAGGTTAGCTGTGCCATGAACACGTATGTAGAAACTTTCATTCATCCTGACGTTCCCTTCAGATAACGCTAGTTGAAACTTCGAGATTCAGAGGAATGAGTGAGGCTTGTGAGGTCTATATTTGTGATTGCTTTACGATCTCTCCTTAGATAGAGGACTTGAGCACTCATTTGAGAAATAGTCAAATTCTGTTTTCATATAAGGGAGACAAATAAGAAATCAAGTTCTTTTGTGTTGTCCAGAGAGGTGGGAGCAAGAGTGTTATACCTGGGCCTACAGAGACAGGCGAAGACAGATGGGGAGTCGTGAGAGAACGGTTATCCCGATGGAATTCCCAGAGGACTTCAATCAGCTGGAGCTGCTTGATACACACCGGCACCTCATCCCCAGGGGCACCCTGAGTCTCTGGCCCGAGGAGGAGGAGGAGGAAGAGGAGGAGGAGGAGGAGGGGAGGCGCACAGAGGAGTGGTATCAGGAGCAGGAGCGCAGACTTGAGAGCAGGCCCGCGGAGCTGATGCTCTGGGCTGCCGAGAGGAACCGCGTGAGTGCAGAACCTGTTGTTCCCCGGCGTCCTGGCCACATTTCCCATTGGCCCTTACCAATCATGGCCTCCTAATAATCCCCCTCTATGAATTGGTTTCATTAGCCAGCAGCCATATCATCCTGCAACTCACAACTGGCAACCCACTGAAGCTAAGCAGGTGTGAGCCTGGTCAGTACCTGGATGAGAGACCTGCTGTGAAAAAACTAAAGTTGCTGCTGGAAGAAGGTGTTAGTGGGGCCAGCAGGGGGCGCTCACCTAATGCCCCAGTATAGCGACGGGGACACTATACTGTAAACTGGTGCCGTCCTTCGGATGAGACGTAAAACCGAGGTTCTGACTCTCTGTGGTCATTGAAAATCCCAGGGTGTTTCTCGAAAAGAGTAGGGGTCCTTGGCGTCCTGGCCAAATTTCCCATTGGCCTTTATCAATCATGGCCTCCTAACTATCCCCCTCTATAAATTGGCTTCATTACTCTGCTCTCCTCCCCACTGATCGCTGATGTGTGGTGAGCGTTCTGGCGCACTATGGCTGCCATGTCCCCATTACCTGTAAAGCGCTTTGAGTGGAGTGTCCAGAAAAGCGCTATATAAGTGTAAGCAATTATTATTATAATTATTATTACTCTGCTCTCCTCCCCACTGATAGGGGAGTCCCCATTACCTGTAAAGCTCTTTGATTGGAGTGTCCAGAAAAGCGCTATATAAGTGAAAGCAATTATTATTATTATTATTATTATTATTGTTCCGCTGTTTGTCACAGCTTTCAAATCGCCACCCCCCTACCTCACACGGTTCACCCCTCCAGCACCCGAAATGTACACTCATGTCCACCCACACGTTCGAAGCCCGGTGCTGTACGTGAAGGCAGCTGGCCATAGGACAGAAGTAATAAAAAAGGGGGAATTTGCAGTCGCCGTATTTTTGTCATTTTTGAGTAGCAGGAGGCCTGAAAATTTGTCTCAGTCCAAACTCACGCAGGACAAAGTCTGGAATGGAATATTTGTGTGTGTGTTTTTTTGCACTATTTAAGCTACAAATTATCAGTGTTGATTATTTCCTTAACTGGATCCATGTAAGCAATTCAGAAAATTCAGTAGGCCTAGATTTTAAGCTTTTGATCAACTGAAGAAAGCAGTGACACCTGCTGGGTTGTGGTCTATGAGGTCCTGAGGTGTGTTCTACTGTTACAGGAAACTCAGAAACAGCCAGTGAATTTATTACAAAGGTTGCATTTGGGGTCTTACTTACAGCTCCGTCTGATGTGTAATATTAAAATACTCTTCAGGGGCTGAATGAATTGTTTTTGAATAGTATGTTGTGAATTTAATGTTTTTATGTCAATAAGGCTGCATTTGCGAGATCTTTGCAGTGCTATTGATTTTTTTTTAAAGTTCATAACCTGAGCTTCAGTTTTAAAATGGCAATAATTTTGTAATCTCAGAAATTGCGCTATATTTTCACCAGTACACCTACCATTAGTGGTGATTTTCCTGTCTTCTGTATTGACAAGCAGGTTATCAACTAAGTGGAGATCTGAGCTGTGTGTTGAATGCCATTTAAGAGGCATTTTGAGTCATTTCACTTGTTGCCTCTGAAAGTTCTGCATTTTTTAAAGCAAAAAAAAACATTTCTGTTGCATAAATTGAAGAACATTTAAATTTTTGTGCTTTTTGTATGATATGTATTCCAAATTTAAAAAGTGTGTAACATCAAATGTTACTAGACCTAACTGTTGGCCTGCTTGTTCACACACAGCTTTGACTTAAAAATCCATAACAGCAGCTTTGGGCTAAAAGAGCTGTGCTTTAAAATGGAGACATTCAAAGTGGACAGTTAAAGAAAATAAGAATTTCCATGAATTATCTTACTTAAAAGTGATTAAGATAATATATGTCACAGAACCTTGCATTTGCATCTGTATTGCTCATTATGTTTTATTTGCTTTTCTATGCTGTTTTCTTATTATTGCATTTATTTTTTACATTTTCATTCTTGGTTATTTTCTTCAGACAAGAAGAAATGGGCATAATACAAACAGCACTCTCTGTAGTTCCCAAAGTAATTATGTGTAAACTGTACCCACTTATCCAAGGTTAATATATAAGGAACCACACTCCTCATGACCCTCAGTCCCCCCATGCCCAGATCTTGGTACAAAGCAACTTTTTCCACAGTAAAAAAATTGCTGCTTAATTTACTAACTAGGATGCAGATGGAAAAGCTTTATGCATGACAGTGTATTCCATGAGAGGTGTGAGTTTAAACAAATCATTTTAATCAGTAACTGATTTATTCTTATGAGTTGCCATGAAAGAAAATGAAGTCGAGGGTGACTGTTTTTCACAGTCATTAATTATAATAGGGAATTATTCGTCAGGCATAATTAAATTGTATATAATCTGATTTCCATAATGTTCCCGGGGATCTGTGCCCAAGCAGAGATCGTTAGTGTCTAGGTCACAAGTGGCTGGTAATTCTCAATGACAATGCAAATGACGAGCTACCAGGGAAACCTGCGAAATGAAATCCAAAATAAGCACATAGCATATAGGCCAGTTTTCCTCACTGAGTGCATTCTCCAATTAATAATGCAGTTGGTGGAATATATGTACATATGTACTGCAAAATGAAAATTCAGCTTTGTGCTCCTATATAAATGTGTGCAAAATGACTAACTGGACTGTTTGTTTACACCATTAATGATATAAAAAGTCAAATCAATACATTTGTTTGTTTTTAATATGCCACTGAAATGTCACGTTACCAGAATCCATAGTCGCTTTTTGAAATCCTAATTAAATAATTGTGACTTACATGTTTCTAATAACAATAGCAAAGATATGTAAATTTACAAAGATAAAAGCGTGTGTGCCCATCGGCTAAAACCTTTTTACTTTGGCATTTAGAAATGAATTTCAGGGCAGCACCTCCCCATGCTATAGTGTCCCGTGTTTTTAAGTAGGTATTGAAAAGCGTTTCTTTATACTTAACTTCTTTGACACAGCCTACTATTAAAATGTTGCCTCTCTAGAGAAACGTGTTCTTTCGGGCAGGGTTTAATTAAATTAGACAGGCTTTGTGTCCCACGTCCCTGGTGAAAAATCTCATGTTCCCAGCTTCTCTGCCTCTTCAGAATAATTTTACATTTTCCATCAACATCCAGTTCAGTGAAGTTCCCCTAGTCAAGATGAAAGAAAGAATAATCCCCTAAGTATTTCTTGCTTAAACAAATCAGAAGATGTTCCCCGCAGGATTATTTTGGATTCTTTTTCATTCCTGATTTATTTATTCGCTGTTCTTTTTCCTTTTTCTTAACCAAGCTTGCAACTGTTCAGCGCCTGCTCTTGGCCAGTGCAGAGCTGGGGCGCATTACGGATGATGACGAGTACACCCCACTGCACCGTGCAGCGTACAACGGACACCTGGAGGTTGTCCGGTTGCTGACTCAGCACGGGGCGGACATCCACGCCAGGACAGTTGACGGCTGGACTCCCCTGCACAGCGCCTGTAAGTGGAATAACACCCAGGTGGCCTCCTATCTCCTGCAGCAGGGGGCGGACATCAACGCCCAGACCAACGGCCTGCTCACACCGCTACACCTGGCCTCCGGCAACAGCAGGGCCAAACAGACCCTGGAGCTGCTGCTCATGAGCCGCCACATCAACCCCGAATTAAAGAGCAGTAGTGGTGAGACCGCTTTTGACATCGCTCGCAGGACTAGCGCGCTCTACCACCTGTTTGAAATTGTGGAGCCCTGCAATAATATCCTACCGGAATAACGATTGTGGAAGGGATGATGGGACTGAGGCACATCTGAACTCCTGAAAATGTTCTTTGTCCCATGAGTGTCAATGGCATATAAACTCTGGTGGCAGTGTCGCATTAAAAAAGTCTCTTATATGTCTTCATGGATTGGTTTTATTGTTCAGGAAATGCCTCTTTGCACAAAAATACTCCTCAAACCTGAAGTATTCTTTAATTCATTTAGGGAAAAAAAAGATTTCATTCTCGGCAATCTGAAAAGGATACTCCAGTCGTTTTGTGAGCGAGCTTTTAGAATTTCTCCCTAAAACCTAAATTGAGGCTTGAACTTGCTGCATCACACAGTAATTGCCTGTGCTTAGTAGAAGTGTTAATTGAGCAAAATGTAGTTATCACTGAATATGTTGTTATTGCACCTTTAACTGGCAAATGTACAGTAAGTGTTTGCAGAGCATTTTGAAGTAACTGGAAAATATATATTTTTTGGGCAAATATTCCTGATTTCTACAATTTACCGATTTAAAGGACTGTAGCACAAGGGAAAATAAATGCAAAACAATTAACACATTTTAAATCAATTCCTGTGGCATAATTATTTTGAAAATGACAGAAGGTGGCACACCAGTTTATTAATATGTTTATTAACTAAGCTGTACCTTGTTGGACACTTAGGTTTCATGAACATTAAATTGAGAAACTTCCTTATAAATTGAGACTGGAAAATACCTGCAGTTTTGCCCGGTCCTGAAACATAACACTTCTTTCCACAACAAAAATCTACCTGGCACAATTCACTGTAATTAGCATTCTTCCTATTATATTGTACTGAATGTCTTTATAATCTAGTCAGTACATGAATGCTGGTGTCTTCCAAGAGCCTCAAAATAAAACCCCAAATTCTCCCTGCACAGGTAAACTAGAATCAGTAGGATTATTTTTGCTTTAAGTAAATAACACTTACTTACTGTATCAAATAACACCAATCCTTTTAGAAAGTTCCGTGATTTTATATTGAATCTATAGTTTAATGATAGTATTATAGTTAACAGGGACATTGTAGAGCTTGAATCCACCAGTGTCGTGTCTTACATTAATTTCTGAAAAGGTCCCCACCAGCAGTTTTAGCCTAATTTTATCCCTTTACTGCTGGCAACTTGTATAATCCGAAATTACTTTTAGGATGACCATAGTCCCATCTGGGTGACTCCTCTGTGTCCCCAGGTATAACACTAATAAACTTGAGAAGTCTTTCATCCCCTCTGCAATCTCACTCAAAAATCATGTAAAATAACTCTCTTATCTCCTGAAGCACTGTTCTCCTGTATATTTTGTTGGTGATGTTTGTCTTTTTCTATTGTATTGCTGTGTTGGACACTGCTATAAAACAAATTTCCCCCAGGGATAATAAAGCTTGAAGTGAAACTGAAATAAAAGCTTTATTAATACCAGCAAAAGTTTCAGTATGAGATATGGAATAGAAAATATGTACATGTAATAAGAACGGCTCTGATGTAAGAGCTTTTATCTGCATCTGGGATACTATTATTTTGTAGGTATATATTTGTGAGAAAAGACTTTAAAAGGTTCCTTGCTATCCGAAACACTGACTTTAATCTCAGTACATTATAATTAGACAGTAATAAAAATCCTCATTCCATGAGAATGTAAACAATGACAGCAAAACAAAAGCTCTAAACAGTATGTACTGTAGCAATAATACGGTTTGGTATGTAGGATGAAAGTGTGCTTAAAGCAGAGGCATTCTTTGTCACTTCCTCCCTCGACGTTTGTTCTTTGAGGTGTGATTTTCCCCCAGATATGGAATGCTTCGACCACCAGTAGCTAAATTACACAAACCCATGTTTCCCACTGGGACAAACAATAGTGAAGTTAATCTCGTTCTACCTTTCCGCACCACAGAAACCATCAGTTGTTTGGTCTTGTTGATTTTAACAACAGAAATATCCTTATTCAACATCAGACAGTTTATTTGGTTACTACTGATATGTTTTTCTGAAAGAGTATTTCATTTTGTATTTTGTTTTGATATATGAAAGCACGGAGACCAATGGTTCATTGTTCAGATGTGCTGATAAAATTAATGTGCATCAAATCAAGATCTGAACTTATGTGAGGGCAGTAGGGAAGGGGTGTGAGCAAAAGCAGAAACTCTACTACCCTATTCTACATTCATTCGAAACAGCAAACTGGTAGTTTTAAGTAGATAATGACACTATATCCTCTGTTTGGAAATGTTTGGAGACAGAATAGTCTCAAACATCAGACATCACTCTTCAACAGTGCCAGCAAATCTGACAAACTTGAAAAAAGCACCAAAAATGCTAGCAGGAGGTCAGTTGTTATGCTGTAATGTTTAAGTGACACTGTACAAGTCCATGTCTGCAATATTCTGTAGACAGAAAAAAACAGGTGCAACAAATATTTATGAGTATGAACTGCTATGTCCAGGTTCATTAGTGTAGAAACTGGAAATACACTTAAACCAAGTCAGATTTATACCCAGGCTTCTCTGAAGAACACGTATGGAAGAGGGATACTGAGGAAATGCTTTTTTTTCCTTATTTAGAGTGCACAAGGATACAAGAGCCTGCTAGAAGATTCTCCACACCTGTTTTAGTTTAAAGAATGTTTGGTGTCAGTTTTCACAAGTCAAGACAACAGAGGTTCTTCTCAAAAACCTACTGAAAAAGGAGCACGCACCGAAAGAAAGACAATAAATGTGGGAATTCCTGAAGGACAATTTAAGTTTAAATTGTAGTTTTATGTGCTGTTCTTTATTTCCATTACTAAGAATTCTGTATTTACAGGGTTACTGAGGTCCATTTAAAACTGATTTTTCTATAAATGCTCAGAATATATCAAAGGCAGAGACATAGAAAACAATAAAAATGCTAAAGAACATTTTTTCTGTAATTTATTGTTGATTTTTATGCAACTCGGTGTGACTAACGGCCATCAAATCTAAGGTGCAGTGATCTGCATACCACCCACTGCTGTGTAAATGACTTTTAGCAGAAAGCCTGCTGTGTAATACAGAGGTCCTAGAAATGTATGTGGGGCTTGTCGTAATATAACAAACTACAAATTAGTAATCACTTAGTGGCATTTAAACAGTAGGTCTTTATATATTTAGGTATGTATGAAGTGCTGGGCCATAAATGGTTCTTCAGTTTCTGTGAACTAATTTAACTTTGCATTTCAAATTGAATTTAAATGTATCACTTATTACCCTACTATTAATGCCAATTGCAATTTTTGATTTCCACATTCAGCATTTCCATTATTACCCGACCAAGTTTTATAACCAGAATATAAAGTCAATTAAGCGACTGCTACTACCACCACAATCATTACTGACAATGTTAGTGCTACTATTATTGTTGCATTCCATTACAATAACATTTTTAAAATTTATTTAGCACAATCATCACACGCTCTATGAGCTCTATGTGATTTAATTAAACCATACAATCATACACATCAATTAACAACGTAGCTCATTTTATTTCTTCCTTTCATACAAAACAAAAATAGATCGATTAGTATACTTACTCGTGTGTAGGAACATATTGGCCAGAACAGCAGTTCATATGTAATTGTATAGCATTTTAAGACAACAGAAATGCATCCTACTTTTTTAGTGCATGCAGGTTACACTTATGTCAGTATAGTAAATTCACTTTGTTACGTCATCTCAAAAGATTCGGTAACCATCACAACTGGAAAAAAACATACAACGTTTGTAAGAAAACAAGACCCAATGAAGTTTTTTTCTGTTGATTGTAAGCATTACACCGATGTAAAATGGACGATAAAGATTACAGCCGTAATAAAATGAAATGTCTTCATGTCAGAGGCGAAAATAATGTAACGGATCACCATAAGGATCAGCGTGAGTACAAAAGCAGGAATATGAACAAAGACATCGAATATTGGTATAATCTTTTCGGATATGAATTCTTCTATTTTCTGAATTCTCTAGCGATCATTTATCTATTTCATGCTCTAAAAGAAATGGCTAAACTTTACGTTTGCTGTTTGTACATCCATACTATAACATCAAAATGCGTCAATTTGTTCATTTCCTGTGACAGCACGCTTTTAAATGGATGGCTGTCCGAAACTACCCGTGAGTTGTTACTAATTGAGTTGTTAACTAATTGAATAAACAGATACATTACTCAAATTAAATACCAAAGAAAAAAGTAAAAACTTTTCGTTTCAGGCTACTAATATAATTTGTACTGCCAGTCCGAATCCAAATCATATTCATTATCTTATTATAGCCATATATCTTTTAATTTAGGTGAAAAACATAATATTTCCTTGTAATTTTTGAAGAATGCTTTCGGTTTCAAAATCGAAGATGTACTCCTTCTCTGATTATACATGATTAGCTGCATAAAAAAGGCGTTCAAGTGAGTTACATATTCCAGGTACACCACCATTCTTGACCTATTCTAAAGCTTTTCAGTGCTTTATACATTGCATCAAACTGCACTATAGTAACGTTGAGGAAGTAACAAAGAGGGTAATGGAATTTGAGGTGGAAGGTAACAGGGGAAGAGGCAGGCCTAGAAAGAGATGGATAGATTGTGTGAGAAAAGATATGGAGGTTTGTGAAGTGAGTGAGGAAGATGTGCTTGACAGTGACAAGTGGAGAAGGGCAACCAAAGCAGCTGACCCCAGGACAGTCTGGGACTAAGGCTGTGAAAAAGAAGAAGATAGTAAATTGCAATACTACATGGGTAGGAATTTCACCAAGTGAAATGGGTTAGGGAAATATAACAAAAATGTTTTTGAAGTTCAAGACTTTAGTAATATGGGCGACTTGATATCCATCAACACAACTGCATTTTAGCTGCTTAACTACAACTTAGAACCATAAATGAAAGAGATTTAGTACACCTCATAGTGATATAGGTCACAATTGCTAGCAACCTTTGAGCATGTCATTTTGTTCCTGCTTTCTTGTTCTTCTTCATCTTCATGTAAATAGGTAAGACATTTGTCTGTCACAACATGGATTGGGAAACAGAAGAAGACACAAATGAACATAGGAATGGTCAACCGTCAATGAAAAATCTGTCTGGTGGGTTATTACTGCTTACTCAACAACTGCAAATACGATATGGTTATTTTGACCACTTTTGTTGCCATGAAAGAAAATTCTGCATTATTCTATTGAATGATAGCTGATTGAAGAGCATAAGAAATGTTACAGGAGAGGAGGACATTTGGCCCATGTAGCTCATTAGGAGATAAGTGATACAAGGATCCCATCCAGCTACTGTTTCTTGAACAAAGTCAAGGTGTCAGTTTTGACAACATGGCTGAGCTCCAAACTCCCATAATCCTTTGTGTAGAAAAGTGCCTGCTGGCCTCAGCTCTAAACACACTTCCCTGTAGTTTCCACTTGTGTCCTGTGCTTCATTTTTCACTGTTGGTTCTGAAGGAATCCAATGGGTTGACTTTTTGAAGCTCAGTATTTCCTATATCTACATATACTGTTTTTATTATCTACATGTAATACTTAGCATTTGTGCACTTATCTACATTAAATACCACATCTTTTTGAATTAATTGCCTTTTAAGTGCTTGATAGTCCTTATATTTTCACTTCTTTTCTTCTACAAGGGACTTGGTTACACAGGACAATTTCCTTAGCCTTCTTTTTTAATTCTGCAATGTTTAGGACATGGGAAATGCAACATAGTTTCTCCATTGCCTACACAATTAGAGTTATACTAACATAGAGAGATTAAATAATTGTTCTAATAATTAAATCTTCTTTCTTATCTTAGACCTTTTTGGCCTAAAGTATTCCTACAGTGCTCTGGATTAAAATAGGTTCATAAACTGTTTTGCAGTAGTGGTCACTAGAAGAAGTTCTATAAATTATAGATTGATGAACTGAGTTAAGTAATTAAATGCTATTTATATCATCTGTCATTCTCTCTCTCGCCCACTCTCGGAAAGGGTACAATGGTCTGTATTTTGTTTTTGTTTTCCTTACATTTCACATTGTAACCTCTGTCTTTTTTAGCCTATAAATTTGATGAGTTGTGGAGCACCAACAGAATTTTTTCATTAGTTAGAATCTGTGAAAGTAAGGAAAGCACTGAGGTATTAGACACGTTATTCTTCTCCCGTTTTGGAGCAGTGAAAGGTAGGATCAAAAGTCAATGTATATATAAACTATCTTCACCTTGGTGACTAATCTTCACTGTGGCATTTTATAGATTTTACCAAATATCTGTAACTTTTTTTACTTAGCTGAGTTCACATTATATATATATTTTTTGCTATGCTGGTTAAGTGCTACCCAGAACAGCCACAATAGGAAAACAGAACATAATACTGCATCTTGCACTTCATTTAGATTAAGCATCATATTTTGAATGTGTTGCCAGCCCAGATACCACTACTATGTATCTGGTTACCCTAAAATATAAATATATGGTTAATCTAAGGTTTCACCGAAAGGCTCAGATAAAGGGATAGGGTTTAAAGTGATTAAATACTCTTGTGCACATAACACTAGTAGTGATGCCAGGAACAACTTCACCAGCCAAACTGAGTCACAGCACAAAGGGAAGTGGTTAAAAAAACAGTATTATTTTTACTTTACTCTGACTAAAGTAGGACAGATAAATGTTGGCATTTTTCTTTTTACAAAAAAGCTCCCTTTGGGCCCTTATCTTTACTACTTGTCTCTCCCCCAATTCCTTATTTGCTCTGCTTATTAATTGGCCGGATCTAATTATTCTGTTTTTATGGTTGATATTTTTATTTCCATTCTTTTTTATTACATTTCCCAGCACTGCACCTATTCCAGTGTATCATTGCTTTTTCCATGTGGTTTAATAGTCCTGTGCTGTTGATTGCTACTTGTAATCTGTCAATTTGTCTATAAAAATTAAAACCACGGTGGTATTTAGTGTGGTGAAAAACAGTTTGACATCAGCTGTATTCTACACAAGCAGTGATTTCAGTGTCTCATCCTTGTATCAAAGAACCATAGTACTAATGTTTTTGTTATAATTATTACAGAATAATAATATTATTAAATATTTATAATGTATATTAGTATTCAATTTTTATTAAATTAGAATTATGGTAGAAAATAATATTTTTTCTGATTGAAAGTCAGATTTGAGTTTGATGCAACAAAAAATCTCTTTTTGTTATTATGTGAACAAAATTGCTAGTTATTTGACGATGTATCTGCAATGTACATTAACATACAGTTCTCCTGGTTGATGTTTTAGAAGCATATTTATTGGCCTCTTTCAAAACCATTTTCTGTGTTGCAGCTTATAAGAAACCTAAAGGAGTATTTATTATAACACCCAAAATCTCAGGTAATAATTTTTTTTTTACTTCTTGTGTTCATTAAATCAGGAAGAAAAATACAATGAACTTTGATGAAAATGAAATACATTAAATTAGTCATTGGATCCAAGGAGTCTTTCTTGGCTTGTGCAGTACCCTTAAAGTAAAGATAAACCGAGATCCTACAAAACATATTACTCAAATTACAGCCTCCTTATGTAAATAAAAGTGGAAGGGCAAATAAAGTAGAAACCATTTTGTCCAAAGCAGTAACGTAAGATTTAAAACACACTGTATTAAAAGAAATATGATCTATAATCACTGCCTTTTTAATCCTTTGAACAGATGGCAATTTCAACAGAAAGAAGAAGATGAGGGTTTCTTACTCACAAAAGATCGAAGAAGATGATTATGGCTTTTAAAGAGCACTATTTGTTACTATCATGCATTTGTCACTAGACTTTCAAAGTAGAAAGGTCTACTTTTTAAATAATATTGCTGGAGAGAAATAAACACTGTCTGAGTTAGTTCTGGCCTCTTAAAGATTAAAGATTAAGATTAAAATTAACAAAGATCTCTTGTTTGATTTTTATTATACATTGATTACGTAATTTACAGTATGTATTTGAAAACATTACTGATCATTTTATTTTCAGTTCTTGAAGAGCATTTTACACATTTTTATACAATACGATATTGTCACCACTCCACTCTTCCTTGTGAAAATTAATCTCGAAAAGAGATTTCAATTCATGGGTTATTTTATAAAATCCGATAACCACTTTTAAAATTACATTTTATTTACCATAGCTTTTTTTAACTGTTAGCAATAGTGGCTATCCAAGAAAACCCAATAAAAACCTTCTATTTTTGAGTGACCATAAAAAGGAAAGTCTTAAAAAAACAGCGACGTTATAATGCAAGGCTATGATCTAGAACCCGCAAACACAAATCTTCACACAACTGGCTTCTATTTAACGCGCCTGTGGTACAGATCATGTTAACTACAGTTCTAGGTGAGCAAACAACTTCAGGCGTAACACATTTATCTCCACCCATTCATGCTTAATCTAAATGGATAGTTAGAAATATATGGATTTTACATGCATGGATTTTTAGGGAAAAGGGTTTTCTTTCTTGAACACAAAGACACCGAGCGTCATTTAAGTGGTTCTCCTAATGTACAGTGTAACAGGATGCAAACAGCAGTCGCTTTTACATAAGGGAGGGGAGGAGAGAGGTGGATTAGCTGAAGTTTTAAACATGCTGTCTCTGCAATTAACAAAGAGCCCTTTTTGTGTCCTGACTTCATACTAGTCTGGGGTTCTTGTTGCCACGTCAGTCACTTGATATATCGGGTAAATATTATCGCTTTTTTAGCATTTACTTTAGCTGTATTTCTCAAAAATCAACCATATTTGTCATTTCTTTGGATTCTAAAATATTCTTTAACTGTCACGTTTTGATAAGTAGATTTTCTGATACAGCCGTGTGTTCGCGTTCGGAACAAGTGCACTGACTGTTCTTCTGCTAAAGCGCAGAACTGGTTTTTAAACTCTGCTGATGAAGGGAAGTAGAGACGCGAGACGTCCGAGAAACAACTTTTTGGAATTAACCTGGTAAATCCAGAAGTCAGGCTCTCTCCTGCTTCAGTGTTTTATGCTAAGTGGTGCGTGATCAACAAGGAGGAGACAGCCGAGAGAAGTTTCTGACTCTTACGCGATTTATGGAAAATACTGTCACCGATTGGGAAACCGAGGCACTTCTGACCAGGAAGCGACAAGGGTTGTGTGACAATAAACAATGCCATTCGACTGTAATGAAGACTCTCTACCCGCAGGTATTTTTTGCTGCTTTTGCCTGCGTACTTCTTGCACTCTTTCTCTGCTACCAGAACCTGCCGCAGCCGCTCCAGAACTTCCCTCGTCTAGATAGCGAGGCGAATCGAATCACCATTCTGATATGGTGGCGCCCTTTCGGGAATAAGAACAACTTCACAGATTGCGGGGGGCTGTTTGGCATCCACGGATGCACGCTGACTACTCATCGGGATTTATACCCGCAGGCTGAAGCAGTCATCATTCACCACAGGGAAATTTATGGGAACCTCAGCAGACTTCCACAGAGACCCCGACCATTCAATCAAAAGTGGATATGGATGAATTTTGAGTCTCCTACTCACACCTCGGGGTTAGAAGAACTGGAGGGAATTTTTAACTGGACAATGTCCTACAAGGTGGGTTCTGACATTTTTATGCCTTACGGTTACCTGCATCCGAAGAAAACGGGTTCGAAGTCCACGAAAGTGCTGTTACCGCGGAAGAAAGGTCTTATTGCGTGGATCATTAGCAACTGGAATGAGGATCATGCACGGGTTGAATTTTACCACCGACTCAGAATGCATGTTCCCATTCACATATATGGCCGAGAAGGGATGGAGCTGATAAACAACAGTATTGTCCAGACTGCTTCTCAGTACAAGTTTTACCTCGCCTTTGAAAATTCCCAGCACCCAGACTACATTACAGAGAAGTTATGGAACAACGCTCTCAAATCCAGCGCTGTACCAGTGGTGTTGGGGCCACCCAGGGAAAACTACGAACTTTTTCTCCCTTCTGACTCTTTTATCCACGTGGACGACTTTCATAGCCCCCGAGTGCTTGCTGCCTATCTGAAATTTCTAGATAAAAATCCCAGGCTGTACAGAAAATATTTCAACTGGAGGAAGAAGTACGATGTACATGTGACCAGCTTTTGGAGTGAACACTACTGCGCAGTGTGCAAAGCAGTCCGGGCAGCACAATATCAGACTAAAACCGTCAAAGATCTTGCCTTGTGGTTTGAAACCTGAAGACTAGCCGATTTACAAACCTTCAGGAACGTGTGGTGAGGCGATAAACACATACGTGTAAGACTGCCACCACTAAAGTGTCAAAACAGGCTTTCCTGGTGGGTGGTGCTGAAGGTGCGGGCGTTGTCTTTCGCTTTGGGCTGAGGTGACTGATTTTTCGCATTACAGTGGTGCTCTAATCTCTAGGGATCTGAAATCTCACTACACCCGCGCCAGAGAATACCTATAGTAATGATCTATACCTGTCTTTCAACGTGTGAAAAGTCGTTTTTTTTAATTGATTCTCTAATTTACAGGTACACAGAATAAACAGGCGCGCTAGTGCATAATCCTACATAATGATTTTGTTTTTCCTTCTTCCTCCGCATTATTTTACATTGTTCCCTGGATTTTTCTAGTTGAAACTGAGTGAGCTCCAGCTGGGAGACACTTCGTCAACTTGTTTAAAACTTACTCCGGATCAATTTGGCAGTCTAGTAAACTAAATTTGCCGACATTAATACATGTATTAGTTCTCTGTAACTGGAGTCGTAACAATATGACACAACTACCGTGTTTCAGCATAAACATGCAGATTGTTTTAGAAGTACACAGTACAGGTATTCAAACTCTTGCGCAATACTTACATTTTGTTTGATACATGATACATTGCAGTAGCAAATTATATTTGTAATATACACAAATTGCTACCATTTAATGTTTGTACATTTTAAAGCAAAAAAGGAAACAAGTTAATAGATAATCTGAAAGAAAAAAGGCCATTATAGCATCTGTCAAATCTTTTTGCTGTGGCAAACCTAACATTAATATTAAAGACTGAATAACTCTTTAGGCTTGGTCAAATTTAGCATTTAGAATTGGAAGGCACCCAGACACTGCCAGTCTCAGACTCTCTCTCCAACCTGAGAAGCTAGGAAAGGAGAAATCTGGTTAGATATGCCATCATGATGCACTTGGAGACTTTGAAGGTGGTCCAGAGATCAGTGGCTGTGATGGGAGAAAATGGTCATGTCGTCAAATAACCCAGTCACTGCACAAAGGGGGCTTCTATGAAACTGCACAAACCCTCACTTCCTGCATGCAAATATAAGTAAGTGATAATGCAAATGTGGCAAAAGGATTTTTGGTTAGATAAGACAACACTGGAACTAACTGGTCTTAATACAAAGTGTTACATGTGACACACGCCCAGCATAATACTTCCCTCACTCAACACTCATTTCTACTGTCAAACATTGTGGTACCAGCATTAGGTTATGGTTACACTTCTTATCATCTGGGACAGGGAAGCTTGTCAAGACTGATGTGAACATAGTACTGTTCTCAAACCTTAAGAGAACACCTGCTTCAGAACTAAACCTGGGACAAAAATCCACGTTTTCAACAGGACAGTGATCCTAACACAGGGCTAAAGCAATTCTGGAGTGGCTTAATGATAAGTAAGTGAATGTCCTTAGTTGTCCAGTGAGTGCCTGACTTGAATCCTAGAGAGAATCTGTGGAAACACTTGAAAACAGCTGTCTATACAGTAAGTAATTGCTAAGCAACTTGAGTGATCTTGAGCAAATGTGCCAACTTGAGACATACATAGAAATGCTAGCAGCTGAAATGGCTGCCCAAGGTGCTTCCATCAAATATTATTTCATGAATACATATACAATCAACCTATTTGTTTTTTTCTCTTTACTTTTTGCAGATATTTACTGTAACTTATCATTCCCCTGGAAGACTTCAGCTCGAGCATTCATGTCTTGAATAAAATATTAAGTTTAAAAAATGTGCATGCATCATTTTGTCATTTCACAAAACTACACTATAATAAAGGTTTGAACACTTTAACAAGGTTCACTGTATAATTATATTTATATAACTATACACATTAATTACATTAATTAAACGATTAGTTTACGATACCAGTTTCCTCTGTGGTCTAAAGTTGATGTTTCAACACTTGGAGAAACCACAGTGAATCATTGCAGGGGGGGAGATACTGTAGCTCTGGGAAATTTAAAATGAAAAGCCATGATGTGCATGTGTATAATGTTAGAATTTGCATTCTCAATGAATTTGGCGATGTTTATCAGCATTGTTAATTTCCACTGAAACAAGTATTTTAAAAAGTTGAAAAGCTGCACATACAGAGAGCACAGCCTCAGAGCAGCAGTGAGCACTTTATATAAAAATGTTCCATGAATCATTCTTGGACCAACCAAGGGGACTGAGGCTGTTTCAAGTGCCAGCCTGTATAATGCAATCTCAATGCCACACCTCAGGAAAACATTGTATTTCATTTATGACTGAATGCTGTCAGAGAACAAATACTCTAAAGCTTGAGTGGGACAGTTTCATTGCTTTTTAGAGAAATTACAGTGTAGGCTTAACAGTCTCTACTGTAGTCTTATTATATAACTGCCTTCAGATGAAAACAGCACAAACTGGCTTTTATAACTTTCTTTTTATAGAGGCAAATGTGAACGCATGTATATATTCACTCCAGGAAACCAGGATTACTGTTTTTTTCCAAGCTCTAAAATAAGTTATTCAGTTAGCTACAGTACTTACAGAAATTAAGAAATGTTCTATTTTTTGTTGGCAGTCCACATGTTAATGAGGACTATGAGGCTAGTTTTACTAAATATTGCATTACCTTTTACAAGTAAAGTACAATTGTTCAATGCACAAGACAATGTATGTTTTATTCTTGTGCTACACGGTGCATTATTCATCCAGGATGTAACTAAATATGCTTCTGAAATTCCTCACAAGATCAAATATTTAACTTCAACAGTGTGTAGATTAGTAGCTACTTTTTAAATCATTGTATTATTTGAAAAAAAAAGTACAAGTAGTGATATCTTTATCAGGTGAGGTTATGTAGACATTCAACTGTGAAATGCACATAATGTCTTTCTTGTTGAATTCAGCACACAATCAACTCAGCCGGCCACCTCCCAGCTCTGTTTCTACTCTGAAACTGCAACAATAAGCAGGATTGTCTCAGGAAGTGGTAACTTTATCTGTGAATAGGTATAGAAGTATGAAGTGCACAGTAGCTATAACTATTTTTCATCACTATAACAACCATATCATTACCCCCTCTTTGTTTGCTGGACTACATATGTTTTAGAATAGAGGCCATTATTAAGCAGTACTTTTTTGAGTTTGGAGAGCCTTCTATGGACTTCTATGGACATTGTTGCTATGTTCTTGTCAATCTAGTATCATATTACAATTTCTCAGTTTTTGGCAATAATGACTGTAATGGTAGGAAAAAGTGAAGCTCACTTCAGTTAAGACATTTTTACAGAGCATGGATCTCATTTGCATTGATGATAAATGCAAATTAATTAGGCAATGATTTACAAAGGTTTCTTAGAAAAGATTTAGTTGTGCTTTACAATTCTCAATTGTTAATTCATATCTTAACAGGGTGATTTTGTACTTTTGACTATTTGAGCAAATGTAGCAAATTTCTATTAAAAACAGTAAAAGATCAAATGAATTTCAGCAATCTGTAGTTAAGTTTAGTTTATTCATTCTATTTTCTGTCAAGTACTGCAGTTCCTCTACCATAGTGGGATATGGGTCTTATGGGTTGTGTCGAAAAAGATTATTTTTCTATTGTGAATAAAACAGCTCTTCTGTTTCTCATTTTATTTTGTTGCCTTTGTTCATTCATTACAGTAAGTATGTGAATTATTTAAAGCAGGCTTCGCAGTATCTTCACTTGGTGCGTGGGAAACAAAGCATGGCTATTGACAGAGGGGTACACTGAATCTCAAACCCTCATAAATATAGCATGAGACTGTGACTGTGTTTCCTGCCCTTTCCTAACATGGAGGCCAAGAATGCATCAGTAGGCGCTAGCGTGTCCGTGTCAGAATGTGAAGTGTTTAATTTGCTACCTTTTTGCTTGATCGTCTTTAGTTGTCTGATTTGATAACAGAGCAGAATTTTTAGAACTCTTGGACAGGTGAACAGATGCTGGCTCTACTTAGATTAATCACATTAAAAAGCAATAATGACTCAAGTGGGATTTATTTTGGTAATCTTTTATTATCTTATTCCTAACTTTTGTAGTAAATCTTATGCTTTCTGATGTAGGCTTACATATCATAGATGGGAAATTCATGGTTCTTTGAAAACTCCATCTTGGCACCACATTTGAGAAATCAATTACGAGCACAGTGAAATGTTAATTATGCAGGAGGCTCTAAAATTAAATTAATTCTAATGCCGTAAACAAGAGCACTCCTGAAACAGTACAAGGTAGTTGCGTCAGAACATTTTTTCCCTAAATTAATCTTGTAATATCAAAACCCTGTAAGCGACAAACCCCTCAAGCTTAAAGAAGTACTATCCCTCTGCCAAAGTATGAAGTGGTTTGATTCTTTTTCAAAGACAAAATTTGAAATTACAGTACAAGCTATCTGATGACTGAGCCTGAATCCAGGAAGAGTAAAAATGCTTAAAGCAGAACCATTTTTCTCTTCATTCCAGGCTTTTTGTGAAATCATTTTTTGATCATGCTCCCTAGTGTCTGTTATAATCATATACTGTCTTTGTGCTTTAAATACTTTACTGTGTGTTAAGATTAGAGCTTCAATTCATATCACAGGATTTCCCAGAGTAAAATGATGCTTTTGTGCAGTTCTCACGGCATACAAGTCATAATCAGGTTGCAGTGAGTACTGAAGTATCAGTCAAGGTCTTTTTTCTTCATCAATGAGCCTGTCCAGCTCATCACCATCTCCTTGTTAAAGAGATACTCAAGATCAGGGTCTCTTAGATTATTCTGTATGAGAAGAGCACTTTTCAATAAGGACATCTGATGTTTTAATGGTAGCAATGCATAATAATGATTATACAATATAATATTACAATCTACTTCTGTGGCACAGCAGATTCAAATTAAATTATTTGAGCTATTTTCGCAAATGGTTGAAAAACTGACTGCTGACCATTGGTTAAAAAGCACTCGACTCAATTTCACTTCATGTTCGCACCTAACCTGAATATGAAAAATAGGTATGCAATCTTATGAATGCAGGCAGCAAAATGTATTAATATAAAAAATGATTAAAAAGACAGTCCCTTATAAACCATTTACCATAGTAAAAACATTGTGAAATGTAGTACAACACATGCAATGTAATAGTACAGTAATCACAGAAGTATACATACGCAGGACACAGACTGACTGACAATCCAGAGAATGTCAAATAACAAGAAAACTCCTAAAATAAGGGGTTTAGCAGGTTTATGGCAGCACTTCCTTAAGGAATGAATACAGATGAATACAGTGATTTGTTAAAAATGTGGTGCATCAAGGCTGTTACGTCTTCTGTTGCTTTCATTACTGCCAATGGCTTTGAATCGTGGCTCATTGAGAATAGCACACAGATTTTATTGGTCCACTCTTAATCCCATGAGTAGCATGGCATTACTTCACAGAGGCAGCCTTACAATGGGTGTCAGTTACATGTGTTCACTAGCACAATTAAAAACAAGCTGCTTGACCCCAGGATGTATTACAGTCGTCTCTAACAGAAACAGAGGTGAATAATGATCTGTCTCTTTGGGCCCTGGTTTTCAATTGGAGTGTCAGTCACTGTAGCTATGGGTGTGGATGAGACTTTGCTCTTATTTTTTTTTTCTTTCATGGTGCCATGGTGGAGCAGTAGTTACTGGGGCCTGGGGTGCTTTCTGTGTGGGGTCTTGTATGTTCCCCCCCCGTGTTTGTATGGGTTTCCTCCAGGTGCTCTGGTTTCTTTCCACAGTCCAATAAAAAATACCGGTAGGTGTATTGACTTCTGGGAAAGTTGGCCCTGTCTGTGTCAGCCCTGCGATGGACTTTGATCCCATCCAGTCTGCCTTGTGCCTGTTGTTGCTGCAGTAGGCTCTGGCTCCACTGTGCTCCTGAATTGGAAAAAAAGGGGTTAAAAAATGGATAGATTTGGATCATATGTTTAATTTTTTGTATGTCGCCCTAGTGACATAACAGCACAAGGCTTCAGTTTTCAGTCTGTCTTTCCACATAACAGCAAAAGTGGTCCACTAGGGTGCCCAATAATAATCTGTAATAGCCACAGATTTGAGTTTGACACTCGGTGAGTAATGCAAAGGTATCATTTTACCTGGTGGAGAAGCATCACGGAGATATCAAAATATCTTTACCTTATTCTTTTTGGAGTGAAAAAGGGCACCATTTACTTTGAACAAGCAGAAACGATTGTGTCAGCATTGTTGTTGCAATTACCAGTGCTTTTTATCACTGTTAAAAATTGCAAAAACTATTTAAAAAATATTTACGCTGTATCTTACGGCACCGTGTACCTTTTCTCTCCTGGTTTTCTGTCCGCCAAAGAGGAAAGACTGCGATGCACCGTAGAAGGTAAACCTTCCTTTTAGGAGAGACTCATGTATGCATATTATTTTCCGAGCCAAGCACTACAGCACCACCGAGTGTCCAATAACAGTAGCACATATTTTACGAACATTTCATCTTCAGTTTTACAGTGAGGATTCAGAGTTCTCTTGCCAGGTTTTAAACGCACAAGATCAGCTGAGAATCAATTACTTACAATTATATAATTTAAAATGTTCTACTGAAAATGAAAAGAGAAAAGCTATACTTGGCATCATTTGAAAAGATAAATTGTGTTGGACACGATAGCAGGGTATTTTGATAAAGTATTTAGTTTTATATACCGTATGGAAAGTGAGTCTTCATACAGTAGCTTTAACGGAAATTATCATGAAACACA